AGGGTTAACTATTTTGTGACCCTTCTTTACATAGGTTTTTTTCAAAAATTAACCAAAAATTCATTATTTGCAGAACAGGGTTGAAACAAACACTGAAATGACTGGCAATGATTGCTCTAATATATTCTTTCATCAAATTAAATTCAGTGCAGTTAGAATGCACACCATGGGCCGGTCCTTTCTTACCCCATGAAAGCTGCGATCCTGTCTTACCCCATTTGACTATATATAGTATATAGCCATTGTCTTAGTTTAAAAGGAAAATTGGCACATTTTTTACCCACAGTTCTTGAAAAGTACTCATAAAGGTTTATTTCTACTCATGGTTTTTTGGGGAATGATTTTAGAGATTGGGGACCAAAGCTACCTTGTAATCCCCTGAGAATTGAGATCAATGTTCAAACAGAAGTAACAGTAAGACTTGGGACAATTCATCAGAAAATAAACCCTTCCAAAACAAAATCCCATCGTCAATCAAAACTGGATGGTTCTTGATTCAAACTACACTCATCAGTGCAACTAAATGCCTATTATGTGTGGTGAAACTTCTGTTAGCAAGGTTCTACCTTGCCTCATGTGACCTGGAAATATAAGAGTTTAATTTATTTTCATTAAAATTGATATCATAGAGCAATTAATAACATCACATTGTAAATAAAGATTCATGAATTGTTAAAAGAAAGCTATCTAATGTAACATCTATGTATAATATCTCTCCATTTATTAATAATAATGTTGTTAATGATGTTGGTTTAGAGACCGTGAACGAAGACTGCTTGCCATAGTAGCTAGTGATTCATTGATTTCCTTTGCCTCTATGTTAAAGGCATTTGACCTACAGCTTTGTACAAGCAGAAAACATATTAAACTTGGATAAAACAACTAGCCACTCTAATATTTTGGCAGTGCAGCCAAAATGTCTTGAAGCAGGATTAGCTAGTAAATATACCTATCATCTAACCTATGTACTGTATATCAGTTGCAGCACATAAAAATAGCAAATTCTGCTTTGGACATGCTCTATATGATGCATTTTAAGAAGGGAAAAGGTATTTGAAAATTTCCAAATTGTTGAAAATTAATGGTGGATTTATTTCTTTCAGAATTTTTAATTTTTTTATGTTGTATATATTGAGGCTACTTACACATAATATTTGTGAAAAAATGAGAAGTATCATTCTTTGATTAAAGTCCATTGAGTTGGTGAGCTTTTTTTATGTCATCTTCTGTAAATAATATGAAGTATCATTTAGTGTATGACAATCACTCAATCTGAGTTGTCATGTTCCACCTGCAACACCTCCAACTCTCTGAAAGGAGGGATGAATCTCTCAGGATTGAGAAGGGAACAGCCATGTGCCGGTGAGTGAGCCTTGAGTCATTGCTAAACATCACAGCCTGTTTCCCAACCTTTTCTTAAGGGGACCGGCTACCCTAAAATTTTCAATTTTGGCTTTTCCGGTTTTTGAGCTCATCTTAAAGCTGAAATTCTGCTCTTTCCAATGGTACCACTGCCATCGCTGTACGCCAATATTTACGTTCATGACGTCTCTTTAAAGGGAAGCGGGTTACCTAAGAAAATTAGAGCGGCAAGACTACATATCTTGGTGTATCTGGCATCTGAGCTCAGTTACCCTCCTAACGTTGTACGTAGAGGTGCGCTACAAGTTGCTGCTAGCATTCTTGAGTAGATTAAGCTACAGGAGCCTGTAGTTTGGTATCCATGCTACATTGAGTGCCTATTTCGAGGCGCTCGGGACTTTGTCGCGCCGTCCTGAAAAGTTCAACTTATTGTCACGGAAAACCTATCTCCTCCTACAGTTTTTAAGCTACAGCAATGAGACATATACCATTCGATTTGTAATAAAAATATCTATCGAACTGATGATCACTTTTTTGAATTTCAGTCTGGTTCGTTTTTTATATGGGGGAGAAGGGGGGGGAGGGGGGAAAAATGAGAAAAAAATGAGAAAAATTGGAAAAACGCGTATAAAAGATAAACTAAGGGGAAAATGAGAAAAGTGATCATCAAATCTCTAGGTATGGTCTTTACAAACCGAATGATACGTGTCTCGATGTTTTAGGATGATATTTGTAGGAGGAGATAGATTTTCTAAAGTACCCCCTTTTAGCCGTTTTCTATGAATTTCACGTTTTCTATATATTTTTTCGAAAAATTCATACGAGCAAAATGTTCTTATATTTACATTTTGCATATGTATGCGAAGTTTCATGATGATCGGATAATAACTGTAGAAGTTTTTCCGGAGGTTAGCCGGTCCCCTTAAGCTGTTTATTTTTTTATCTTGAAGAAGAGCATCTCAGATGATTGGTATGTACTTTCCCATTAACCTAATTTGAAATGATATCCAATATGAAATGATTTGTTTGTGTTCTCCTCCACCAGTTGATATAAATCTATTGATGAAATATCTTAATTGTTTTTCCTCCATCTTTTATTCAGTATTGTAAGAATAACAGTTGTACCTATCTCTTGATAGCTTTTTGATGAAAACTACCTATATCAATAGAAATAAGTTTAAGTAACTATTTAATTGAAATTATATATACAGGGGTTGGACAAAATAAGGGAAACACCTTATGAACACAAAGTATATTTTAGTATGGCGTATGTCCATCTTTTGTGGCAAATACAGCCTCAATTCTCCAAGGCATTTATTCTTACACTTTGTGAATTATTTCCAAAGTAATTTTAGCATATTTTTCAATTAAACCCTCTTATACCCTTTTTCAGTTTGATACCAGTTTAACCCTCTTTTGGTCTTTTTAGCGAATTTTCTCATTTATGGAAAAAATGCACTATTGTGCTTGCCATATCCAGCCGTCCGTCTGTCTGTCTGTCCGTGACCTCAAGTTTTTGTAGACGAGAAAATGCGCTCTCTGTCACTCACTGCAGTGAGTACTGAGTTATATTTTTTTTTCTTAACCCTCTTTCTTAACCCTCTCCCAATGTACACTCGGCCAGAGGTTAGAAATAAGGTGAACAAAGACTTCTCGGAGAAAATAACATTTTATCACTGCTTGCAGGACAAATTCTGGAGGTTTTTACCCCACTCTAAACGATATAAATTGCTTTGTTCTGTTAGATGATAGTTGCATCTTAAAAATGCCTGGTCACATCACTTGTGTGTATTCCAATTGAATCACATATAATACCACCGGTACCTATATTAGATTGGAGTCAAGTAATGCTTTCATATATATGTTTTGTATTCCAGGTTCCAGTATCGATTGCGTCCTGAGTGTGGGAATCTCTCAGTGAGACGAGAAACTTGTCACTTAATTTGGCAAACTACTCAAGCAAAGCAAATTTTAGGTATGTCAGCATAAGCCTTTTTATTTATCTTGTAGGTACTATCAATAGCCAAGCTGGGAAATGAGGCAACTTGCATGCCTGTCTGTGTGGTACACCTTTGGGGTGTTTTGTTACCAATTTAATTACTGTCACATTTTTCATGATCTTCCGATCCAGCTGACACTAATTTATCAATCCTACTGAACTCTATTTGGAGAGTTTTTTCTAACTATATTCTAGCATGAAAATTCTGAGTTTCCATTGCCAGCATTAGCGCATATGCTTCAGTCATTATAAATATTTTATCAAATCTTCCAATGTATTGCCTATACTTTGTATCTTTTCATATGCATTTTCGGCTATAAAAATCCCTCATTGACCAGTTATGAATTTTCTGGAATAAACATTGCCAATTTGATGCATCTTGTGTTTTGTTGAAACCAGCAATTTATAGAATTACTTTCTGAGCAATGTTGTTAATATAACAAAAAACGATGCACCAAAATTGATCTTTTTTCTATTTTTTCTATTTCCAGCTTCCTTGCTTGAAGTGAAGGACATCAAAAGAGGCAAAAATTCCAAGGATTTTGAGAAGTGGCCTGATGAGAGCCAGCGCCACAGCCCAAGCAAATGTTTTGTGCTGTCGTACACGACTGAATTCAAGTACAAAACTCTTTCGCTGGCGGGTGAGGTCCAACTGTAAGACATGAGTTCATTGAGGCATGAGCTTTTGATAACAATTTTGGCTTTATTATTGGAAAATATTGATTATGTAAATTGAAGTGTTTAGGCTAGGAAATATTGCCCTCTATATGCTTTTTAGTGTCTACTCTTATTTTGAGTGGAGTTTCAATTTGCAAGTACCTATTAGGATTTTGGTGATGGCCCAGAGTGATGAATTGTCCTTCAAGATAACCTGGGTTGTGCCACCCAACCATTGAGGGAAGGTAGGAACAAATTACTCTAAAAAGTTGCAACAAATTATTCACACCTGCACACACAGTTAATTTCCTTTTATGCTTGCTAATCCTTTGACAGTGATGGCCTACAAAAATGGGTCTTAACTTGACACTATGTCACACTCCTTTATTCTATACAAAATGGTGGAAATGGTATAGGATTTATGTTTTATTTTCTGGAATTGGGGTGTGTTGTGACCTTTGGTCATGACCTTTAAATTGGTCATGCACGCTACATAAAAAAACTTTTACTAGCATCAGAAAATTAAAAGTTCACACTCGCATGTTAACAAAAAAGTTCAATTAAACCATATTCACAGCAGTCCTTAGAAAAAAAATTCTTTTTCTTATTTTTGAGTTGGTGAATGGTGCATAATTAATATTGATATTTCATATGGCAGCGCTGTCAGAGCCAGAGTGCCAGGACTGGCTGGTGGGCATACAGTTCCTAGTGCAGGAGGCCAGGGAAGCAAGTCACAACACGCGTCTCGAGCGTCTCCTCAGGACCGACTTCTACACACTTCAGAATCAAAACTTCAAGTAAGGCTCCAGCTACTCAGTTTAGTGTTATACTGTGTTATTCTCATTCTCTTGTGAACGATGAACATCGTTCACTAATATTTATTGCTCGATTAATCCTAACACTTGTTCTCATGCGCATTTTGTTACTAAATTATTCTGTAGCGTCTGGCGAAGCTGCGCCAGTAACATTAGAGTCAGACCTTACTGCAGTTGGAACGACGTAGTACAAGGTCAGGTCTGAGCGGCTGTGAGTCAGTTAGTAAGTCGTGTCCCGCCTTCCCTTCAGCGAGGTTCTCGCCTTGACTCACCTCGCTCCGTTGCTCCACTAGCAAACTTGTTCCTCAACGCTAGTTTATGTGGCTGTGCTCTAAAAGTTTCGTCTGGCAGTGTGATGTCTCTTGTGCTTGTTGTACTATTTTATTCAACGTATCGCTTTTAAGTGTTCTTTTCTGTAATAAAAGTCGAGTTTTATCCTTGAAAACTAAAGCATTAATCAACGACCTCCCAGTATAATTCAACGTTCATCAAAGTCATCTTATTTTAACAAGATAAATTCCTCGTTTGGCCATAAGGCTTGAGACATTCTGACAAGATAACAGGTTGCGGTAAAACGTTCGGTGACACTCTGGCTTATGGCTAGATATTTTTTTCGACTGGGTATCGCCAGCTAATGTTTCTGGTAAAGTGAAGAAAATCTTTGAAACGTACTGAAAAGAAACGAGTTAATCGTTTATTTACAGAAATATTTAAGTAAATTCCTAACTCCAAGCACCCGAGCACGCAAGTATCATCGCCGATGTGAAGTTTTTTCCTCAAAATGATTTGGAATTGAAGCTTGGAATATAGTTTGGCCTGGATAAGAAACTCGCATGCTCCTTAAAACTGCAGGCGGCGACCTGTACAGTAATTCATGGTCTGGAAGAGTACAAGATAGTCACAAAAAGCTTAACATAGAAACATTTTAAATATTAGCAAGTGTTTCAGGGTGGGAGTGCGCGAGGTACGGCAGCTGATCGCGCGTCTGCACCACAAGGAGCGCGAGCCTCGCCTGCGGCAGCTCATGCAGGCGGCGGACCCCAACCTGCGCGGAGACCTCATCAACTTCGACCAGTTCTGTGACCTGGTCAAGCTATTCATCTGGGAGGAGCAGGTCGATAATTTATCACTGTAACTTATATTAACATCCCCCAGGTAACAGGTACTCAGAGTGTTCAGGGATAATAATCTAAGGTCATGCTCTGAAAACATCACCTTTTGACCGCGACCAGATGCCGTCCGCCAGCAATAACGAGAAATGAGTGAACAATGAAATGCGCATTGTTCTTTTGTACGCATTGTTCTCTGCACTATAGACCTATACTAGGACTAGGAGAACACATGTGCATTAGTCCAACTCTGGGAGGAGTAGGTTGAGAATTTATCAATGTAACTTGCCTTTTCCACGAGATATATGGGCAAACATCTGTTCGTTACTAACAAAAATTCTGAACCTCATTTTTTTCACCTATTCTATTTCTTTTGCCAATTCATAGTAACGATTTCAAAATTCGCTCTTGTGCATACATTACTGATATCCTCTGTAGCCGCACTTCAAATTGTCGCCATTCACACTTCAAGAACTTAGACACCAGAGTGCTTTAGCTGATGCTTGTTTTAGTTGTAACAGGAACTACTAGATAGATTTCATGCAACACAATTTGTAGCAGAGTGTTGAGTCTTGGTCATTTGTTTGTAACGCGTTATACAATCTTCTCGTCATCCAAGTCTGCTATGTGTGTAGCGAGACTGTTTGCGCGTTTTTACTTGATTCGGTAAGAAAAATTCCATGATGACGTTGTCATTGATAATTGATGTTATTTTTGGCATCATAATTAATTTTCATGACGAGGATAATGATGTATTAAATTTAAAGTGAAGTAATCAATTTTATTCAGAAGTTTTTATTCACCAAAGATAACACTATAAGCTTCATTGGTAGAACTCCTGATATATGCTTAAGAGAGAGGGTAAAATTATTTATATGCGTGCTCAGTTGTTTACATATTAACTTTACTCTCACTGTTTTATTTACTAATCATCCGAATCCGAAACTCTCGTTATTATAGCTAAAATTGTCAGCATAATTTGCGAAGAATTCGTCAAGAATCAACTGTCATCTTCATTACAGGTGTTATCCTATTGCTTAACTTTGTGTTTTGTAAATGTGCAGCGGCAAATACTGGAGCACTGCCACGACCTGTCCAAGTACTACAAGAAGCAGGGCCACTGTTCCCTGCAGCAGTTCCAGAACTTTCTGGTCGAGCAGCAGAACCAGGACCCGTTGACGGCAGCACAGATCATCCGCGACGCTGTGGACGACAGGGAGCGAGATCTGGCGCAGCCCTACCTACAGCCCGACGAGGTGTGTTGTGGTCTGGCGCAGCCCTACCTCCAGCCCGACGAGGTGTGTTATGATCTGGCACAGCCCTACCTCCAGCCCGACGAGGTGTGTTGTGATCTGGCACAGCCCTACCTCCAGCCCGACGAGGTGTGTTGTGATCTGGCACAGCCCTACCTCCAGCCCGACGAGGTGTGTTGCGATCTGGCACAGCCCTACCTCCAGCCCGACGAGGTGTGTTGCGATCTGGCACAGCCCTACCTCCAGCCCGACGAGGTGTGTTGTGATCTGGCGCAGCCCTACCTCCAGCCCGACAGCGCTGTGAACGCCTCCAATATTACCTCAGAAAATAATAGCTAAAGCAACTCTCCTTCAATTGTTGACCGTTCCTTTCCTCACTCGGCTAACGCTGTTAAAATAAAGGTCTTCTTAGCCTAGTACTCCATTAATTTATATCCTATGCAAAGTTTATCCTAATCACAGGATAGACATCACCAGAAGCGCATACATACGTACGTGGTATACCGCACATACCTTGAAGTATGTCTAATTGATATCCAAAAACCAATTATACATGCAAGTCTGATGGTATTTCTGTTTTTCCAGTTTTTGCAGTATCTATTTTCTCGGGAGAACCAAATTTTCCAGCGGAATGAGCCACAAGACATGACCAGGCCTCTTTCTCACTACTTCATAGCTTCGTCGCACAATACGTCAGTAGCTTATTATTTTGTATTCTTTATGCTAATGATAGAATTCTTCATCATATTTATAACATATTGACTCTTAATTTACTCTTATGACAAGTGCTAGAATGTCAATTCTTTCCATTTAGCTTTTTCGTGCACGGTAAGTTTAAAGACATATTGGGACACGCAAATGACCGCTTCCACCTGAAATATCCAGTCACTTTCAACACGATAATTAGCTTGATGACGCTCCCATCTGCTGACGCAGGTACCTGGTGGGGAAGCAGATAGGGGACGAGTCGTCAGTTGAGGCGTACGCCCGAGCGCTGCGGCAAGGCTGCCGCTGCATAGAGCTGGACACGTGGCCAGAGAAGGACGGCAAGATCTATATATACCACGGCTACGCCTTCACCACCAAGATTCTCCTTAGTGACGTACTCAAATGCATCAGGGACAACGCTTTCTTCTCCTCCCCGTATGTGGTGACCTTGTCTTTTATCCATGTCTTATGTGTATATGTGGTGACTTCCTTGTCTCTTATCCATGCCGTCTTATGCTTGCTTGTAACTTCAGATTAGAGTAAGTCGTTAGTTACACACCTTGATCGTCAGTCAGAACGCTAAGACTTACGAATGTTTGTGAGAAATTTACGATAATTTTTTCAAACCGTAGTTATAAGCATGATTCCTATACAACTCGTGCGAACGTAAAAAGTTACCTCGAAATTTCTCACACACGCTTCATGTATCTTGCATCGAGGCATTAATAATATTTGTAATTTCCCTAATGGCTGAGTGTGAAAACACTTGAGGCAAGGGAAAACTGCTACTACCCTCATTCACTGAACTAATTTGTGCATTTGTGCAGCTACCCCGTAATATTGTCCATTGAAGATCACTGCACACTTCCGCATCAGCGGGAGATGGCCCGCCTCCTGCGGGAGGTGTTCGGGTCTGACCTGGTAACAGAGCCCCTGGTGCCAGGGGAGACTCTGGCACCTTCTCCTCAGGACCTCAGGAGAAAAATTCTTCTGAAGCACCGCAAGCTTCCTGACGGAGGTCACGAGAACGGGGCAGTGGCAGCCTCGCCGCCCTCTGATGACTGTACGTTGTTGCTGGGTGGCCCTTGAAGATTACGGTGACCATTCATTTCTGGCTTTCCTCTTGATGAATGGGTTTCTAGATTATGGAAGAGCTGAATTATAAAATTTTTAAGTACCTATCTGATGTTATGAGTAATTATATTGTTAGCATTTGTGTTAAATAAAATCAAGTTACTTCTTCTGACTGATCACAGCATATGAAGCAGTTAAGTTATCATTGACTGGAAATATGCACCAATGATAAATTACGGTTTCAAGGTAGAAAGTTTGTGTCTTTTACGATTAATTTGCAAGCTAAAAATTGAAGCAATTTCAACTTTACCTGAACGTGTGTGTTTGTAAACTCCATTAACTAAAAACATGCCTTTATTGCGCTCTGCAAACTTTGCTCATATGTTCAGCATTCGTGAGTGCGAACAGAAATTTGAGGCATTTTATCATGCGTTTCTTATTAAGTGAAGATGATGTTGTTCAGTGGGTCTCCACGACGCTGTGCGCCGCGGCCTGCTGTACAGACGCCACCCGGTGTGTCCAGCGCAGTGGCTGCAGCATTACTTCGTGCTCTCCTCCACACGCCTCTACTACAGCCACGCCTGCGACGACAGCGACGACGAACAGGACAACAACTGCGCTTCTGAGGCTCAGGTAGCTGCTCCTCCGAGGATCAGGTAGCTGCTCCTCCGAGGCTCAGGTAGCTGCTCCTCCGAGGATCAGGTAGCTGCTCCTCCGAGGCTCAGGTAGCTGCTCCTCCGAGGCTCAGGTAGCTGCTCCTCCGAGGCTCAGGTAGCTGCTCCTCCGAGGCTCAGGTAGCTGCTCCTCCAAGACTCGGAGTAATTCTTTATAATCATCGGCTATTTGTTCTCCATACTATGACCAACAATTATCTCTTTACTTGCAATACGTTATTCACTAAATTCTCAAGCAATTATCACAATTCTGAAGCAAGTAACTTTTTTTGCTTCTGCCTTTCTCGAGGTCATGGTTTGTATTTTTATGCGTTCACTTAATAAAGATGCAGAATAATGTTGTGGCAAAATTGGGACATTGATTGCGATGTACAATATATAATGAAAAACTGAACGATAATTACTAGTATTAGTGACGATTAGTTAATAAAAATAATTGAGGTATAATCATCATCCTATCACCCTTAATATCCTTGAGCCCTTGACGTACCTACCCTGCAAATAAAGTGGTCATTTTCTTATTAAAAATCAGCGACAATGTCGTTAAAAAGCGGATAATAAAAGTAACTGGTCTGCCGCGGCTGTTACAGGCAGACAAGTCCCCCGAACTGCGGCACGAGAATGAGGTTTGGTTCCACGGGCGTAGTAACGTGACGCGCGACGCTGCTGAGGAGCTCCTGAAGAAACACAGGAGCCTCGGCGACGGCACCTTCCTCGTCAGGAAGAGTGAGAACTTCGTCGGGGACTACACCCTCTCCTTCTGGTGAGTGGTACTCTCTGCTTCATTCATTAGCATCCATTAAATCAATGCTCCTGATAACTAATAGTGTTTATATTACTTCTTCTCCCTGGTACATTCGTATTTATTATCCTTTCAATATGATGAAATTTTACTTCAAAACCTGTTTCTGTTGCGTGCATAAGGAAACAATTTCTAAACAGCGTGGTAATTATTTTGTTTATACTTATGATAGATTGATTGAATAGGTGTACTTACGGTTTTGAACTCTTTTCGTCAATCTTTTATTCTTATTTGCTGAAAAGCATTCATCATTAATAACCGGACTCTCTTCACCCCGGGTGGTCTTACTTATGCAATGTATACAATATATGTATACCTCTCATTTCGACCTCTATGGCTTATGTTATAGGAGTGATACTCTTTCTTTTTATCTTCTATATCATATCCCCATGTTTACTAGTCAACAGTCTGAGTAAACATGGAAGAAGATTACAGCTTACTTATTCATGTGTTCGACGTGCGCGACATCCTTGAGCAAACGTCACGTCTGCCACGCCGCACCCTAGCCTTTCTTCTCAATGAAATCGCCGGATTTGTCGCTCAGAGATTTCAAAAGCAGCCGGCATTTATTTCTGCCAACTTCTTGTGCTCAGTATATTCTTGACCTCCTCTGAGGCCATCTGCCATGTCTAGTAAATTTCCTAATCTTTCAATCTCGCAGATTCATTCTTATTCATTTGGGATTAAAATATCGCTCGTTAATATCGGCTGCGTATCTGCCTCGAGACAGTCAATAAAGCGCTTTTTCGCCAAATGGCTCGCTAGAATTTCTTGCTACTAATGTAGTAACTAGGAGTCGAAATGAAACGCTTTGGCATTTAAAATTAAACTGCGGAAAATCAAGGCACATAACGCGAATAAAATCATTCGTTGCAGAAATAAGACATGTAAATAAATCCAGAACTTGACGTTTATCTCTAAGGAAAATCACTCTTAATTCTTAAGCGCAGAATTGAATAAACAGCTTCGAAATTAAAAGTCTCCACCTGCTGTTCGAACTTTCCTACTTAGCCGAACAACGTTGTTGCATGCTGCGATCCCGTCGAGTGGTACGGTTGCTATGCCGTGACTGTATCGATCACGAGTGTTGTCTGCCGTGATGACGGTCGTATCATTTCAAGCAGCTGTACTGCGGTTATAGTCCTGTAGCTGTAAATATATAGGCACGTCTTTTCGAAAATTATCTAAAGTTCTGCATGGCCGTAGAATTGTTGACAGCTATACTCCGAAATGGCTGTGATGGCGTTCACTCTAGTGATATTGCTCTGAGCTCGTGGCCGTACTATACCCGCTGTGCTCTCAACCATACTTGAATAATCGTGTTGTCGGCTTCATAATCGTTTCACGTCGGATTACGTCTCGTATGACTATTTTCATACAATCGTTATTCAATTATAGGCAGTGATGCAAGATAAACTTCAGAAACTTTTATTGGCAAGAGAATTGACTTGAATAGAGTTCTTGAGGGCCTGCATTCTCGCAGCCGAGGAACGGAATCTCTTCATCATATTGGTAAATCAATTTGATATGAGGGCTGGAACCGCGTCTAGAGACGAACTGCTGCAAAAGTTGGCATGGAAGCGGCCGAGTCACCACCAGCTACACACCAGCTTGTAGTTCATACTGTCAAGAATGGATTTTACGTAAATTTTCAGTATATTAAAAATAAATGCGGAACATTAGCAAGAGCGGAAAGCAGTGAATTCAATTAGTTGGTGGCAAATAAAATGTAATCACCTGAGATAATATTGCCGCTCAGTGTGCTAACGCACTCTTAGGGAAGAGTTGAATTTAAGGAAAAAATAAGAAATCAGTAGAAGGAGGATGCTTCAGACGGAAAGACAGTTAGTAAAGTTGAAGATTGGATGGTTTGAAGTAAGATTAAAGTTAAAGCGACTTGGCATAAACTCCACGACAGAGCTTTAGTTAGAGCCTCGTCAACTCAAGTTAACAATTAAATTTGAATAAATAAGATAATTGAAGTCTGAAGCATCTCACACGAAAATTAAGCATTGGCCTCTAGCGAACTTAACAAAATGAAAGAAAATCGGGCACGCAAACCAAGGAATAGACAAATCACAGTTCTAGGGAGATGATTAGACTTAGGGTTGAAAATTGCTGATGATGTATATATAGCGGCGGCTGACGACAGGTAGTTTGTAGGTTCACAAAAAAGGTCTTAATGCCGCGGAGTCCCAGTTCGAACTTCTGACTTCGGAATCCCGGCCCTGAATTAAACTCCCTAACAATAAACTTACCCTAGATTGAACGCAACAATAATCTTATTCTAATGAAACAAAGTAAAAGAAATTAACAAACTAAGTAACTGTGGGTAATTTCCCACACTCGTGCTGTCTTGGCATAGAGTCACGGCCGGCGTGTTCGTTGCGTTATTTTGGCCGTGCAGAAATGTGGCTAAGTCGTCGCTGCCACTTGTAGGTTATTGATGCTCTTACTGGAGTGGTATTTGTATCTACGATTCATTGCTTCTCGCGCATCTTAATATTTGTACATGGACGTAAGGCCGGCCCGTGGACGCTACAGCTATCACGTCTGCTAAGCAGTTGTGGATTTCCTCGTCAATGTTCGATGTAAACACGTTCGGTCTCACGGTCTCGAAACAATCCCGTCTTATACATACTACATCACTTCAACCCTCATTCCTTACCATCTCAACAACTGTACCCTAACTTTCATTTGAATTTATTCCTATAGTCATTTATTCATTGTTTTCAATATTAACCACAAATCGATATGGTCCGATTCTGATGGTGCAAACCGATTCTGATGGTGCGCATGGGACGAATGGACGGAGCTGCTGCAACACGGCTTTGGGTCGCAGTAGCATCGGCAGGCGTGTTTAAAAATGCAGTGCTATAATGGCTTCATATACCTGGCACATAGCCCTAGTTGTGCCGTGCATCATAAAAGTGAATGCGTTATAACGAGCCGACATTTTAAGCCTACTTTTACAGAAAATTAGTTCACTTAGTACGAGTCGAAACAACACAAATATAATTAATCCCAGTAATCGATCACAATTGCGGATTGTGTCGACTAATGAGCTTGTTGAATTTTTAACAATGATAATAGCTGTGTCAGCATTGATTAGGCCATGTTGGCCTGCTGCCGATTCTTCATCGCCCCGCCTTCTCGCTGAATTGACCAAAACTGTTGCGGGAAGCTGGGATCGAACCCGCACCTCAATTCTCAGGTCCTGATATTCTAGAATCTAGACTGTAGACACTGGCCGGGCCGCCCTGACCAACGATTACTACAATTTACTTCCTAGTAAATGTCGTTTGGTTTAGTGACTTGTTCGGTGTGATTAGGTTTAAATTGTGCCAGGAATGCCGGGAAATTCTACATATTCTGAAGGTTTTGTTGCTCTGAGTTTTTGTCAGCTAACCCTGTTGACCACATCGTTCTAATTAAACGTACAGCTACCAGCGGAAGGACTTAGAGCTCGAAAGCTATCCATTCACAGCTTAATGGAATGACGTGCAGGAGACAAATAATAAAAGCTCCCTGCTCATGAGCTAAGACATTCCCATATTATTTTAATTGTATTCCCTCCTAATGGCTCTTCCGGCCCCTGCCTTCTTAATATATACTCTTCTCGCTACCTCTGGATTATTGATTTAATGTATGAGAATTAAAATATCAGCGAAAAATTTCCTTATCGGACCTTTTTATTTCAATTTATTTCTACGTTGCATTTTGTAATTGTTGCTTCAAGGTAAGCATTGACTGTGCGCAGGTTCCGCGGCCAGTGCCATCACTGCCGCATTCACAGCAACCAGGGCGCGGACTCTACGCGCTACTTCCTCAAAGAAAACGAACTCTTCGACACGCTTTACGATCTGGTGCAGCACTACAAGATAAACCCCATAAAGCCTGTCCATTCTCAGGTCTGCTTTCCCTTGCATATATCAGTAGCTTTATTTGAGGAGTGTAAATATTGAGAAGTTAGAATGGCACTGGTGATGCTATAGATGTTCTGCTCTGAAAATAGGTCCTGAAGTTATAATTGTAAATTTAATTTTATCAGTGTCACTTTTTTTTAATTCCACTTCGTAATGTTAGGAACTGAAGGTATAAAGCATGCGACACGTTTACAGCACCAGACAGTGAAATTCGTTGTAACTCTTTCTTAATTTCACTGTTATTAATTTTGAAATGAACGATTGTAATTTATTGTAGATGATTCTAAATTTCAAAAATATAAAGAAACTAGCAGGATAGCCCGGCATTGCTTGCTATAGTTTATCTCTTAAATTTCAAGAATCTGCTTATTCTGAATCTCGTCATTTCTAATCCTGTTAATAATAGACCAATTGTTTGCTAAGGAAGACAGTTCAAGCATTTTACCTATACTGAGAATGCAAAACGCAACAAAATTTCCATGTAAAAAAGTTGAGTTTGAATGTTTCTGACAAAAGTTTCACCAAGTTACAAGTTTTCATGAACTGGCATCTTCGTTGGATTTTCCACCCTAGGAACATGTTATATGCGTGACTTTCAAGTTAATACGCATTGTTCTTTGTAGCCTTTCGCACGGCCTCGATTCTTCAGGCGAGTCTTCAGTATGAAAGATATGTACTTGCGAGTTAAAACGCATTAACTTGGTCGAAATGAATTTAATTTGACACGTTTGTTGATTTTTCTAACGAGCACTATTTCAGTGTTCTTATTGTTGTTTCAATGTTGCATTTGTCACTGGTGCAGAACATCGTGACGACTCTGACATCGTCGGTGCCGCAGCCAGACAGCCACGAGCGCATGCCGTGGTTCCATCGTAACGTCAACCGCCGCGCCGCGGAGCTCTGCCTCCACCGCCTCTGCAGAGACGGCGTCTTCCTCGTACGCCCCAGCACCAAACGCGCCGGCCAGTTCGCCATCACATTCAGGTATAGCGCTTCTCACTTATCAAATGTACAGCGAATGGCTTGCAATAAATTGTTTCTCTTCATTGCATCACGAGTTTCTTGCAATATGACTACGGCAACTCCGTACATTATATATACTCGTGTGATACAATCGGCAACACACGCCTATTTAAATCTTTTGCTTATTCTCTTTTGATCAAAAGCTTTATTGCCCAAAATCAATCTACACTGCTTCGTCATTCACGTCTGCATGGGTATATACCGAAAATGAGGTTAAATTGGACTATTTTTAGCGCTTTCGTATTCGAGTTGTGAAGGAATGTTTCTGAAGTTTTTTCTGCGTGAATATAATTGTAAGGCAGCACCAGACATGTTGCAGGGTGAATATAATTGTAAGGCAGCACCAGACATGTTGCAGGGTGAATATAATTGTAAGGCAGCACCAGACATGTTGCAGGGTGTGCGAGGAAATAAGACACTGCCGCGTGCAGCGGGAGGAGGGCGGGTCGTTCTCGCTGGGCAGCTCAGTGTTCGAGTCCCTGACGGAGCTGGTGCGTCACTACGGCCGCCACAGCCTCTTCAGGAACACCAAGCTGCGCTACCCTGTGCCTGCGTCCGTCCTGCAGAGCGTCCTCAGGATGGTAGTGTGCACTGCATGGGCTTGCTCATACAACTTCTTCTGTATTTATGTTTATATCAAACTCTGCATGAAATGATAAGGAAAACACGTTGATTGGTTTTTTGTTTTCGTTTTTTTTTTTTTGTGTGAAATTCTGTAGGCACTACTAAAAGTGGTTTGTTTGTTAAATAATATTTGATCTTTTAGGTGAAGATAATTCCTCAGAGCCTGAGGATAAGAGCCTCACTGACGGTGAGGCTCACGGGCGGTTCCATTTCTAATAAATAAATAGGCCGATGAATTTAATATTTTATTAACTCCACTCGCATGTAAATTGTCTTGGAATTTGTATTTTTAGTTCCCTTATTATTGCATCAAATAACCATGATAAAAAACCGTTGCCGACGCTCCTAGTTAGGTACCCCGAAGCCAATTGTTCCCTTGTAACATAAACCGTGTTGGCAATGAATGCTCTCAGAACTGCCTCATATCCTACAGGATCCTATGGAGTGTGCGGAACCGCGTGAATCCGACTACATCAGCAACGTGAGTTTTGTGCGGTATTTTTATCTTGAAAGCCTACTGTTTTATTAGACTGGCTTAAGATTAAAGAGGACAGCTTGATTTTGAGCTAGCTTTTATACTTGTTTTCTAGTGATAATATCTGATCACCACTTTGATTCTGTTCTCTCTTTATTGCTCGTATTCTGATGGGAATTCCTTAATTTAGTCGTATTGTGGTGTAGCATTGACTGATAGTCTGTGAATATCTCGACGAATCAGTTTCAAATCTAAAAAATTCTACTAAACTTACATCACGAAATCAGTTTATGAATTCATAATTGTGGAAAATGATCTCAGTTTTCAACTATAAAATCGTTTAAGTGTTAGTAAACCAGGTAGTCGAGCTAATTCGATGTAAAATTACTGTTCGTCTCTTTGACATGACGGCAGACTCCCTGAAGTACCAACTTCGTTATTTATTCTAATCTTGTCGCAAAATACTGCTCTTCTCGGTTCAAAACGTACACCTAATAATTTCTTACATTTGTTACCTGAAGTTATAATTAGCTGCTGAAACGTGCAGATCCGCGTGAAGGCGCTGAAGGAGTACAGCGCGCGCAAGGACGACGAGCTCACGTTTGTCAAGCACGCCATCATAGACAACGTGAACCAAGTGTACGATGAATGGTGGAAGGGTGACTATGGCGGTCGCATCCAGGCCTTCTTCCCTGCCAGCCATGTTGTCGTCCTGCCGCCTGATGCGCCCCATGAAAGTGTATGTTCGCACACTTACATTGTCGCCTAACACGCTGCATGAAGTGTAGTTTATCACACTTACATTACCGCGTGACACGCTGCATGAAAGTGTATGTTCTCTCACTTTACATTGCCGCCTGACGCGCGGCACGAAAGTGCAGCTCAATCTCTTAGCTCAATTGACTGTTTAAGTTGTAGTCATTATCAATCTAGAGCATTGTTGTTCTCTAGAAATGTATTATACTCTTATCCGCGTTTTAACGATGTTATGGGAAGAATCTTCACATGTTATCTTTCAACCTCCACACGTTATCAGTCCTATCGATTTGATCAACTATGTATGCCATGATTTAGTTTCAACCAACAATCTATCAGGCTAGATTCGTTGAAATAAACGCGTTCAGCGGTGATGGCCGGCAGAACGCTGTCATTGCTGTGCGTGTCGTCTGGAACATTTAATTTGTCATGCGAGCAAGTCTTACCTGTCTACGATAAAGTATTTGTCACGTACGCTATGCTTCAGTTCTGCTTTGCAATCGACTGTGATACAATTGAGGCTCTGACAAGAGCCTGCATCAACAGGCTTTCACTTTTTATTCTTTTTAAGCTTGATAACAGACTTCAGCGCTGTGGGCGGGTGTGGTCAAAATATAACGTGTGTTGAAACTTTTGAAGTTCATTTGCTGCTTTGAAATTAGGTAGTATAAAAATTAAGCGGTAGTAAAGTTTTTTACCATAATTTATCTATAGTACTTTTGTACTGAAGAAAATTTATTACGTTTTCTTTCATGAGACCCAACTTTCCGTAGAATTGGTACATTCAAATGCCACAAGTAACCGAGATCGCTAGATGCTGCTTTGAGAGATCACGCAGAGTAGACTCTGATTGCAAGGATGCAATGGCATGGAAGCTTTTACATAGCATTGCATATCTTTTGTAATATTTAAATTCTATTGAATCTCTTGAAAAGACCTAATCATCTAAATTGAGCAAAAAAATATTCTAAATTTTGCATCTTTAATGCAGTATTGTTTTGATATCCAATTGATTATGTATGACGTTGAATTTAGGTGGACCAGCATCTCCTGGGCACGCTGCAGCAGGGCTCTATAGAACTCCTGGGGGCGTCATCCTCCCTCGTGCACACCGCCTCCTCAGGACCTGTTCAGGCCGTCATCAAGTGAGAGACACGAGAGAACAGCTACCTCGCTGTTCGTTGTAGTCAAGTGAGAGACACCAGAGAACAGCTACCGAGTGAGACCGAGACGCGGTACAAAAGTTGCTGCGCTGTTAGTTGCTTGGTTACGTTTTCCTTCCCGCGTTTTGAGGATTCTGATATCAAAAATTGAAACTACTTTTATTGAAGCTAATAATTATTTATCTTTAGTACAGATATTCTTACATTACGAGTTTGTTCTATTCTATTCAATGAAACGGTATACGGCTTGTGAAAACAGAAAAATAGATGCCGCAAATTCATACTCCAAAAATAGGTGAACAAATAATGAAGTAATGACACATTATTATGAATGAATTATTACAGCATTCAAAGTGTATTCGTAACCCTCACCGTCTAGTGGGAGCAAGTGCTTGCCATGAGTTGGAGGCACGATATTTGACCCTCGTAGACTAGAGAAGGATTAATTCTACCCCAGAACCTTTCAGTGATTCCTACTGTATTGTATTTACCTTAAATATTCTTAGGACCATTAATGACTGACATTAATTTCACATGTTAATTCCATTTAAAATTCTTAGCTTAGGTTCAAATGTGCTTTTAATTTTTATGCATTTTCTATGTTGTTATTTCTTGTTTTTTTATGAAGATCTCTCGTGACTTGCGATATTATTGCCACTCTGAATTATGTTGAATTTAACGTTACAGAATTGTGTCTGGCCTGAGTGTGCTGGAAGTGGGATTCGAAAGTCAAGCGGAAGCGACGGAGTGGCTGCAGGACATCCGATCGCTGGCCACCAGAGACGACCCCATCGACCTGGTCAGTGTCGGTGCCACAGGCAGGACATGCGGCAAGAGTTCTTGTTTTGGTGTTTAGCAACACTTACGATAATGGGGCTAGCGTGAGGGTCGTCTGCACAATGTTGATGGAGGGACCTGAGTGAGGCAATTTCGTGAGTGTTTTTTTTTCTGGTATAGAAGCCTGCGGCATCAGTTTTACATGGAATGATCCAATGTTAATTGTGAAACTAAAATTTAACATCGCACATGTTTTCTATACTATATTGGAGCGTCAGTCTCCGCCTCGCTTTGACCATTGGTTTTTAATTTATATTGTGCCTGTTATTTGGTTCGTATTTAATTTACGGCGGAAAACTTTTTCAATTCGCTATTTCAGTTGCTTTATTACCTGCATTCATTTAATGTTCATTTGTCCCTTAAGTATGTAACGGAAGTTCAGTTTTTCAGCCGCGTCTGTTTCAACCAGTTTGGGAACATAAGAGTTAGCGACTACAGAAACAATCAAGTTGCTTGAGGTCTTCATACAGGGAAGTCTTCCTGAGCTCACTCTTTGCTCTATTGCTCCTGCAATGACTTTGTGCATCTCTCTACAATATAATTTCTTCAGTCGTCTCGAAGTATCTTATCGTAATTTGTATACAATCACGTCAGGATAATGTCAAGCTTTGCTACTGTTCTTGTCATGAGGTTCGTTAAGATCCATTGAGAAAAAGATTCCTTTAATTCAGCATTTTCTTTAAATATTCTGTATGATCTTTCAATTGAATTTATCCACGGGCCGACATATTTGTAACGACCAACGACCAGTAGGTATGTGTGCTTTAATCTGACGGCCCAGGTGGCAGTAATGTTCCAACAAAGACCAAGCCGGCTGATCTGCTTAAATAGGTATTTTTTAACGTAGGTTTGCCATGTGCATGGAATGGAATTTTGCTTCAAGATAGTTAGGAATTCCATGAAATCGAAAAATCGCGCGAGAATTTTAATCGAACTTCCGAGGCTAAGTATAGTAACCCAAGAGTGCATGATAAAGTGCGTCTGAGAGCTTATTCGGAAACGATGCTAATTGCTTGAATATGTAAGCAAATTCACGCACAGCATTATTGTCGCCATCTTAATAAGGTCCCCCAAGCGCTTGTTAGGACTCCATTCAGCTTTATTGCCTATAGCGCTCTTTGCACTACTAAACGGCATTTAAACCTTTAATTGCCTAGTCTAAAGAGAAAATATTTCCTCTGTAAATTGTAACTTTAAACTTAATTTAAATTAACTTAATACTATTGGCTTGTTATCAAGTATATGGACTTAGCGTTTATGTTTGCTCAGCACGTGCGCGCTCGTGAGCGCCAGCAAGACGTGGCGCGCCAGATGAGCGACTTGGTCGTGTACTTCGAGGCGGTGATCTTCAACAGCGACCAGGCGTTCACGCGGGGCGGCGTGCACAACCAAGTGTCTTCGCACAGCGAGCTCAAGATCGAGCGCTTCATGTCCACCAACCCCCAGAAGCTACTTCAGTTCCATAAGGTTATTTCCACCTTACTGCTTGTCTATCAGTTTATCCTTACGCTGCTGTAGTCTTGTTAGGGGACTATCGCTTAAATGCAGCTTACTATCGCATGATGTAACCCCTTTGGTGCTTAGCGTTGTGTCGCACGGAGAGGAACACGGACCTTTCACCTACTCCTTACACTGTAAAGAAACAAAAGCTGCGTCTCCCTACAGAAGTGCAGTACTTTTTTTTATTCTTCTCTGCTCTATGTTTTCGTATAAATCATTTCAAATTTTTCTGGTCGTATCCCATTGTACTTGCTACCAAGGACCTACTTACAAATCACTGTCTGATATCTTAGCAATATCGTGTTTTCAGTGCCACTTTTGTGAACCCTTTTGAGAAAAAGAACATGCATGTGAACAAGCATACTGCCGACTGAGCTTTGAATAGACGCCAGAACATTGGTCTGATTGAAATATCCCAATTTTTTTTTTTCGACTGAAGCATGTTTAAGTGGCTGAAATTAGAGAGTTTACGCCCAACTGGGCACTGCTTCATGGCTATAGCAGTTTCAGTTCCGTTCAGTAATGTCGCACAAGATAATCTAGAAGCTGGTGCTTCGCCTTTTGCATGTACACGTACAACCGTTCAGCGATTATTCATATGCTGCGTTCGTCATATTAACTGATATTAATCGAAAACAAGTGTCAAGTTGGCAATTCGTTCTGTAGCTTCATGGTCGACAACGATGATTATTTTGGTGTGTCAAAAATGTTTTTTTTAATTGAATCCGTAGAGTTTATTGAAGCAGGTTCCAATCTTTTGTTATGCTTGTAAATTTTATCTACTGGAAATAAGTAACTCATCCATTTGTAGGTTGGCTTTAGCCGCGTGTACCCTAAGAACACACGTGTGGACTCCAGCAACTTCCTGCCCATGCCCATGTGGTGTCATGGCGTGCAGCTCGTCGCACTCAACTACCAGACCGGGGGTAATAATTTCCCTGCACATGTACATAAGACTTATTCTTTCGCGTGAGCAACCATTTTGATGCAAAATAGCAAAAATTATAAACAAAACGTTTGTGAGCTACTCAATACAGTGTGATTCGCAGAAACTTCCTGACTTGAAAGCTCAATAAAAATGAACTAGTAAAGATATCGATGATATATAATTTTATTGGAAAAGATGTTACCTGAATTTTTGTATCACTTAGTTTTAAAGATGAATTAAAAATAAATGATGGCCCCCATTGCCAATGTATTCAGTTAGTCGATTTTTGAGGTTCCGTTCAACTCGCTGAAGCATATTGACGAGTATGTTGGCGATAGCTTGGCGTATGTTGTTCTTCAATTGAGTCAAGAGTCCTTGACAGTCATTGTAAACAATTGATTTATGATAACTCCATAAAAAAATACTCTGAGCCAAATAGTTGAATCGGGCCGGCCAAGGAAGGCAACCTCTCAAGGAGTAGTAATAATGTAACAGCCGCTAGAAAATTACGCCTCGACAGCAAACGCACGCTGCTCACTTGTTCAATGCTTAGTGGCAACTGACTAGGCGAAACACAAAACTTCATGTCCTTGCCTTTCATATGAAAGAATCCCCGCCCTTTTCCTACAACATCTGGCTGCTTGGTGCGAAATAATAAACAAAAAGTTTCCGTGAATCACCCTGTATGTTAATGTGATCTAATAATGATCTTATTTGATTTCCTCATAATTTCGAGATCGTATCAATACGAAACTTCATTGTTTCGTATTGACCTTCCACAGCACGGGTCACAGTTAAAAGATTAATTTACTAATTGGTTCGACACCTTGCGATTTCCTTCTATTTCCCTCTAGTGCATGCCACCGACGTATCGTATGGCGTTTTTGTTGTTGTACCCGTGTTCATATTCGTCGCTCTGTAACGTGGACGCTGTTTACTTCATACCTTATTCAGCTCGCTGTCAAATGAGGTCTTCCGTCACGTGTTGATGTATAATTGTTATTTAGGAAATTGCCATCCGCTTATCAAGAATCATTAATTGATTTCCCTTTGTACATAGAACGCATTATTTGCAGACAAAGGCATGCAGTTGAACCACGGCATGTTCCTACAAAACGACAACTGTGGCTACGTGCTGCGGCCAGACTGCCACTTCGACGACAAGTACAATCCTGCGGACCCGTCGACCCTGCGCGGCGTCGCGCCTTACGACATCACCATCCGGGTGAGCCAGGCGCATCGAGCACTTGTCTTTTGCGACTATTGTGATATTAATAAATGTATATGCCTGGAACTAGGTTACTGCATATTTATCTATCGTTTCGATAGGTTTATCTATTTGTTGTTTGATCTCAGTATATCGTATACAAGCACTAAAATTCATTTCTTTTTTTAACATGAATGCTGTAGGACTTATTTTACCCTTAATTGCAGTCGCATCAATGTGACTACTTGGGCGTCATTGAGAGTGAGTGAAATCTGCTTTAAATTGACAAGCTGTTATTAAAAATTCATTAACCGTTCATTTCCCATGTATGAGTGCCTTTATTTTTATTATTTTTGAGTGGTCAGTGACTGACGTAGTTGAATACTTAACTTGGGTATGTGCGGTGCCCTGAATTGACTGAGATTATTGTGATGTTTCAACAGGTGCTCGGCGCTCGTCACCTGACGAGGAGCAGACGAGGGATCATCACACCAATAGTGGAGGTTGAGGTCATCGGCTGCGAGTACGAGACCAACACGCGCTTCACCACCGTCAACAACGGTGAGCTCAGCAGGGGCACGCGCTTCACCACCGTCAACAACGGTGAGCTGCGCTTCACCACCCTCAACAACGGTGAGCTCAGCCAGCAGCACGCGCTTCACCACCCTCAACAACGGTGAGCTCAGCCAGCAGCACGCGCTTCACCACCCTCAACAACGGTGAGCTCAGCAGGGGCACGCGCTTCTCCCCCGTCAACAACGGTGAGCTCAGCCAGCAGTATACACTTGCTTCTGAATGCTTCCAAGGTTTAATATGAGGTACCGTTATGCATTCATACACGTTACGAATTTTTGTATAGTTCTAACTCAGTATGAAAATTTCGAATACATATTGGGCGGGTAAATGATCGGTTTTGACTTTTGAATCACCTAACGTTATTTTTGAATGAAATGCTTGCAGTGAGCAACGGGCTTTGTCCTTCCTGGAATGAAGTGTTCCAGTTCCGCGTAATGAATCCGTCGTTGGCGCTGCTGCGCTTCGTCGTCTACGAGGAGGAGGTCTTCTCAGAGCAGATGCAGATTGCTCAGGCCACTTTCCCGGTAAGATTGCTTACGATCTAACCTTAAATATTGCCTGCCCATTACCATTTTCAAATCCTCTATTTTATTGTCAGACCCTAACGTGCTGTGACACGGTATCATCATATAACTTTTGAGCCAGCATCCAGTTGAACTTATAAGACTCCATGTGTGATCACAACACGAATCCCGATCACTCCACTGTTTTTAGCGCATTTTCTCATTTATGGAAAAAATGCACTATTGTGCTCGCCATGTCTGTCTGTCTGTCTGTCTGTCCGTGACCTCAAATTTTCGTCGACGAGAAAATGCGCTCTCTGTCACTCACTGCAGTGAGTAGTGAGTTATATTTTTTTACTCTTTATGTGCACGAAATTCAGCCATTGCTCTGATATAGCAAGAAAAGCAAATTCTCATGGAATGGCAAATAATAGGCAATCTGGGCCTCGAAGTTGACGTAAATGCGCTACTCTTGAAGGATGTTGTGCTACCTTGTGGGTATCCGCACATGACTTCAGCAGCCTTTCTTCTTTGCAAATCCGAACCGCCCTCAAACAGTACCTTTGTTACCAGATTGAAACCCGTCCCATTGCAATGTTAGGAGTGTGTACTTTAAGAGCAGGCACTGTCTCCACCATTACCTATATCACTTCACCATTACCTATATGTCTACTAACACGTGTTCAACAGAGAACCACCGGAATTTCAACTCAAATCCAGCGTGCTTGCTTTCTTACACACACCTTACAGTACATACACTTGAATGTCCCAAGCCAGTAAAATACATGAACAATCTTCTTAAGTTGTCCAACTATATCCACGACTTCGTTCAATGTGACATGCCATCTAGTGTGAGATCTGTGTCAGTATTACCTGCTATTCTCTCATAATTGACAATGAATAATGTAATTCTGAATATCCTTCATTGTATGCAGATCACCTGCCTTCGCACGGGCTACCGCAGCGTGCCTCTGAAGAACAACTTCTCTGAGGACCTGGAGCTCGCTTCTCTGCTAGTCCACTATTCCTTTAAATCTGAGGTGATGATCTGTAAACTAGAGACTCTTTGTAGCTCGGAAGTATTAGAGTTAACATATCCATATCTGTGAATTATTATCACCACTCACCGCCCGACTGCTGCTCAGTGTTGCAACTTGCAATGCACAAGACGCTCAGTATGGAAGAACCTGTAGTGCAGACAATCCAGACCAGTGATGCACTGATTCATTCAATCACACGTACTGTGGCGTAAATTCGTTCGAAATTTAACTTCAAGGTTGAACATGGTTCTGTCATATTCCAAATATAGTCACCTAGCAACTGTGAAGCTCAAGTTTCAGAATCAAATTTCATGCCGACGATTTTGGTATATTTTCCGGCAAGTTCTCATTTTATTATACTGACCAGGTAATTGAAACAAAATGCCAATCATCCTGATTCTCATCGAGAAATTTAGAGTTCTAAAAGCTCCAGCTTGTCTACTTGATATTTTAGCTTGAATACACATTACACAATGTACATCGCGCAGTACTTGAGTATTTTTCGTACATTTCACACTAACTCAAAGATGCAACGACCGCAGGCACCGCCGGAGCTTTCGAGCAGCGACGCTGCGACGCACTAGAGCAGCGCAGCACTCCAGCAGCGCAGCACTCCAGCAGCGCAGCACTCCAGCAGCGCAGCACTCCAGCAGCGCGGCACTCCAGCAGTGCGGCACTCCTGCAGCGCAGCACTCCAGCAGCGCGGCACTCCAGCAGCGCGGCACTCCAGCAGCGCGGCACTCCAGCAGCGCGGCACTCCAGCAGCGCAGCACTCCAGCAGCGCGGCACTCCAGCAGCGCAGCACTCCAGCAGCGCAGCACTCCAGCAGCGCGGCACTCCAGCAGCGCGGCACTCCAGCAGCGCAGCACTCCAGCAGCGCAGCACTCCAGCAGCGCGGCACTCCAGCACAGCGCGGCACTCCAGCAGCGCGGCACTCCTGCAGCGCGGCACTCCAGCAGCGCGGCACTCCAGCAGCGCGGCACTCCAGCAGCGCAGCACTCCTGCAGCGCGGCAAGCGCGGCACTCCAGCAGCGCGGCACTCCTGCAGCGCGGCACTCCAGCAGCGCAGCACTCTAGCAGCGCAGCACATTTTGGTCCTGGTGCTTCGTGGAGATTTTACTTCTTCATTTAAATATGATGTGCCGCCAGGAAGAGTAAACAATAACCTTATTTGATGAATTCTGGAACACGTTATTCTTCCCTCCTATAATTTTCTTGACTTCTTAAGCTGGAGGCAATAGTAACTGACTTGACTTGTAAAGCTGGAGGCAATAGTAACTGACTTGACTTGTAAAGCTGGAGGCAATAGTAACTGACTTGACTTGTAAAGCTGGAGGCAATAGTAACTGACTTGACTTCTAAATCTGGAGGCAATAGTAACTGACTTGACTTCTAAAGCTGGAGGCAATAGAAGCTGAAAATTCAATTTGTGTGAATTGCACATTAATTACGAAATGAGACTTCAAGGATGTTAAATATAAGCTGTTATAACTTTGTCATTCGAATTACTGGTAAACGACAGGAATTCTGCTTTTGTATTGTTCGGGTGATACATTAGTATCATTCCTACTACACTGATGATCCTACGAACTAAACTACACTACGAATTCACCATCGGCAAGGTCGGGATTGGCAATTTGTTATAGCTTTATTTCCGTGTACCTACCATTGATAATTTTAAGAAGTTTATGTATGAAACTATTAGGAGTGATGCAGGGTTCAAATGTATGTTAATGTTGACAATTACGCTGTAGTGGCCACTGTGCGGTTGTTTTAGAAATTCTTGACTGAAATCAAATTAAGCCTCATGTAGAATGTAGATGATACTTAAAACTCGTACCTCTTTTTATCGTACATTAAGGAAAGTGTTACGATGATGACTAAAAATTATGAAGTTGTTAATTTCACTTGACACTTGGCTTAGTTTGTGTGCCTTCATTGACATGCTGATAATCAATGTCACTCGTTCTATAGCTACTTAACAACCCCTAGTTCAGGACGACACGTTCTAAACATGCAGTGGGAGGGGAAGCTCTCGTTAAAGAACACTGATGACATTCCTTGATCATGTCCAATAATTTTTATTTGTGCTTTGATTTTCTACCGAATATTTATAATTTGACATGAATATTTTTCGTTTTTTCGTTCACTGCGCAATCTCACCTCATCACTTTTCATCATCCTTTGTACGTTCTGAGATCTCGTCCTCCCTTTCTGTTGGATAGTTTGCCAAAAATCAGTTATTTTTGCATAGTGGAAATAAAATATATTAAAAAGGGCCGCGTGTTTGCAGATCATAGTAAACTGATTGGTTTTATTCTAATTTCTTGTTTACAGTTTGCTTCAAGGCTTTGGACGTAAAAGTCTAATTTAATTTTATTCGTTAATTTTACTTTTTTCTAATGTAAATAACGTTTACATGTTACTAATGTTTTTCGCCCCTCAGGGGGACTTCTGACATGTGTCTGTGCTCGTCAGAAGTCCTATGGGATTTCCTGAGCGGGGGATTGCTCCTGAGCGCCCCACCGCTGAGCTCGCGGTGTCTGACTGCGGGCTTCAGTTGTGGGGTTAAGTTATTATGTAGGTAGGATTTCTTGCATTTCCCTTCTCTGTCTCTCTCGTGCGGGCGGCCGACGTCCCGTGTAAGCGACCTTATGTTCGAGTGTCTTCGTTTCTGTTGCTTTTCACCTGTCCCTTCTTGTCATTTCGTCTCTGAGATGCTAACGCTGCTTCCTTCGAGCCAGCTTCATCGGACTGGACAATTGAGACCTTCCGCCCCCTTGTAGGTGATGATTGACTTGAGATTTTGAATAATTGAGACCTTCCGCCTCTTTGGCGATGTTATATTTTGACCTTCGGTGCGACATAGCTTGAAAGCTGAAGCGCTAGCAAACCATTATACCACTATTACTACTAATGTTTTTCGCATTAACTATGGACGTGGAGAAACGAACTGTCGTTATCCAAAAAAAATATTCTGATTCTCATTTCACTTAAATCATTCCGGCTTCGTATCTCTGAGTTTGTTGTAAACGTTGGTCCAACACTACAACCACATTTTAGAATTTTCACCTCTTCTTTAGGCTCCTCAAACCCGAATCTCGCAGCTCTATTCTCGGTACCCTTGACCAGTCGACCGACACTAGGGCATTTTTGTTGTAGTTTTTATTTTGAAGTCTTCATAGACTCGTTGAAGTATCGATCAGGGTCCCAGGTCTGCATTTGGATTTCTTAAAAAAATGCAAATAACGAAACTTCCTCTGCACTTAACTCCCATTAGGATGCTTGGAAATATAGTCGTTCTAGAGAATAGTTAGCGTAGATGCATTAGTAAATTATTTATTTTATTTATTAGACCCGAAACGTTTTATTTTTAACCCGGAATTAATATAATTTTCGAATCTATTTTTTTACCTGTGTGAATGAAAAAATAAAGTAAACTTTATTCCATACAGGATGGGTGGTAAAGATTCTGCCTTTCGATTGGAAATGGCAGTTTTTAGGTGCAATTTTTGTTTATTGAATCTCATTAGAGAGCATACTGTGCTAGATTTACGTTTGTTGTCATCTTCGTGTGCTTATTAACCAATTAATTGATAAGATGCCGTGGTTACTGGCAACTTTGGCAATATATCTCTACGCAATTTAATTATACGACAGAGAGCCTAACCATCAGTATTAATTAATCTATGTTAACAAGTTATTTGTAGAGGAAGTTCATCTTACCGTTGCCGGAGTCGTGGTGGCGCTCCTTGTGTCCTGACCCGTCAGAAGTTCCATAGGTCATCCCAGGGGCGTGGATTCTGAGCGCCCCACCGCCGGCAGCTCGTGGTATCTGAGTTGCGGTCTCAGCTGTGGTCTAATCTGGGCAAGAGCAGTCGTAGCGAGCAGCCGACCTCTGGCAGGAGTGTCACTTTTTTTTGTTCACCTCCTGTCACTTGATCAGGATTTCTTAATTGAGAAATTTTTTTTCTTTTTTTCGAATGAAACTGAATATGGTGTAGGTTTGCCATTGTTAAAATATTATGGCGGATTTTTAGTTTTAGGTAAAATTCTTGGTAAAATGCTAACTAAATATTAACATCCTACAAAGCACGTTGAATCACGGTTTGTATTCGTACGCTTTTGTTGTGTTTTTTGCAATTGTTATGAAGCTCTTATTGTAAGCCAACTGCTCTTGGTTCTTTTATTTAATAATTGTTTACAGCGCGCCAATTGTTTTTCTGTTTACTGAAACATGGAAATACTGTCGGAACCTTGATGTGGCTGCGACACTTGGAGCGCCTGCGTGCGGATGGAGCTGCCATCTCCAATGGAATTGAATTATTTCGTTTCTCTTTGTTGGTTGTGTGATCAGAGAATAAAGATATCCGCTCGTAGCCTGCCGAAATGTTGGTTTTTACTATCCTCAACGCTGCTGGAAAGAGGTACGTACACCAGTATTATTTTATTATTTATTCACCAGAAAAATCATTTTGAAGTGAATCCTTAACTCGACGAATTTACGTCAGCTGAATGAGCGAGCCGAGGTTGTGTAGGGTGAAAATGTTTCGGAACATGCTACCGTAGGTCTGAATGCAACCCAATAAACGTTTCCAATGCCACAACTATGATACATGGTGAGGAAAGGAAATAAAAACTCGGTCAAAACGCGGCGTGGGATTTGACGACGAAAGTAATGGATTAACTAACGCTCATTCCAGCATTGTTACCAACAAATCATCACAATGAATTATCTCGTCTGGTATAGTTTAACATAATCTAGGGTTCAAATATTAGTGCTATTTATTGTAATGGCTTGTTCAATGTTGGATTGGCTTGCGTTGTGACTTTATTTTTTTTTTTTTTTTTTACTTTTTTTTTACAGAATTGATTTTTTGCAATGCCACTAAATGCGATGCTGATTATAATTATTTTCCAATTTTTACTAATAATTGTTTGTTTTAGGGGCCTAGTAACATTAGTTACTAGTTAGTTGATCAGTAAGAATTTTTTTAGCCTTTTCCCATCTCGGTTGAACATTTCTGTTGCAAATTTATCGAGGTCATCGAAAATAATTCAATGGTGACCATTGTAACCTGTTGAGAGTAAACCTGAGGACGCAGAGAACTCAAATTCAACGCAGAGAACTCAAAATATATACTTGAGAGCCTAAAAACCTGCAAGTCTGTATAAAATCCTGAATAGGGAAAAACCTCTAGCTGCTTAACTCAAATTTTAAATGATTTAAAACAATTTTTTGGGTGTGCGTGCTTCAGAGTTGGAGTTGAGGGGGAGCGCAGCCGTGCACCCTTAATTTTGTGCCCCCTCAGGGGGGACTTCTGACGTGTGTCTGTGTTCGTCAGAAGTCCTATGGGATTTCGCGCGCTCCTTGGGGGATTGTTCCTGAGCGCCCCACCGTTGAGCTCGCGGTGTCTGACTGCAGATCTCAGTTGTGGGGTTAAGTTATTATGTAGGTAGGATTCCTTACATTTTTTTCCCTTCTCTATCTCTCTCGTGCGGGCGATCGACGTCCTGTGTAAGCGACCTCTTGTTCGAGTGTCTTCGTTTCTGTTGCTTTTCACCTGCCCCTCCTTGTCACTTCGTCTCTTTGAGATGCTAACGCTGCTTCTTTCGAGCCAGCTTCAGCGGTCTGGACATCTGAGACCTTCCGCCTCTTGTGGGTGATGAATAATTGAGACCTTCCACCTCTATGGTGACGTTCATCTTGACTTTCGGTGCGAGATAGCTAAATAGCTGAAGCGCTAGTAAACATTTGGCCACTAAACTAACTAATTAATTAATTTTGTGCACCAATAAGCCCTGAATCGAATGCCTTGCATCTCTCCGGACGTACACCAATCAGCCGTGCACCACTCGGCTTTGTCCTCTTCCGGCCTTGACCACCACCTGCCGTGCACCATCAGGCCGCGGATCGAATCTGACTTCCGGGCATCGTTAAATTGCGTAATTTTACGTTCTTAGGTTAGGTTTCAGATAGCATAGTTCTGTTCCAAAATTTATCGTCCTTCAACATGTGGTCGTTCGACCGAGAGCTGGTTCGACCCACGGCCTTGATACGGACGGCTTGAAGTGTTAAAGGCTACGTTCCGGAAGGCAGCAATCATTATGGTCCATTACATCCAGGGCAGCAGTGGTGGTCTTCGGCAGGCGACCCGAGTTGAGGTTCGTAAACAAGAGCTTCAAGACGAGGCTCGCACTTGGCACAGCGCCATGGTTCATCGTAGCGTCGGTAACCCCGTCATTACCGGCGATTTCTGTCAACCGTGCGGACGCTTGCAAAGTCAATGACAGGGACTCCTAGGGTAGCCGAGATTAGGACTACTGTTGTTCTGACTTTTAAATTTTGGGCTACAGCTTCATCCAAAGATAATGACACTTTCAGAAATTGAATTAATTATTATTAATATAACTGCGGGATTTTTCAAATCGTGCGTCCAAATTATGTTCGATGGTTTCAAAGACCATGGGACAAAATGCAGTTTGAAACAATGCATTACCCACTAATGGGCATGCACTACTGCATTCGTACAACGCACCGGTGTGCAGTGTACACACATCCAAAAATGTCGCGCAGTGTCATCAACACCTTGGCAACACTCAGAGAAAACAGTTTGTCAAGATGGCATCGGGATGGTTTTAGTGCTTTCTTAAATAAAAGATTTTCTAACAGTAACTTCCAATCTCGACGATTTAAAACCATCAGGAATGTCGCTTTCCTAGTAAAACTGCCATCTATTAACGTCAAGATTCATCAGTCGGTCCACTAAGTCCCTGTTAAATAATCCTGAAGTCTCCAAGTAGCCGTCAGTACAATTGAGATAGCACTACCTAGTACCTACCTAGCATGTACGTAGCATATCTGACTATTATAGTCGACACTCCCTCACCTCAGGTCGTCGATCCCACAACTCCATGGCCTTAACTCCGTGGACTATTTTGCCGAGGGCGCAAGCGAACGAACACTAATCGCTCCAAATGCGAGGGTAAGTTCAATAGTACATGTGGGAGCAGAAGGCCGCTGTCAGTTATCTCTCCAAGGATGTTATAGAATAGAATAGAAGTATCGGCACTGGAGAAATAGGCCCATGGCCTGTTGCCGATTCTTACACTTTTCGTGACTTGATTGGCAAGGGATCCGGCCTTTGGAAACCGATCTTTCCATAACTGACTATTGATTGAGATAGCTGCTGGACTTCTTGCCATGGTCCGTAGGGTGCTAGGCATTATCAGACAGACAGACAGACTGAACATATAATAATAATAATAATAGCGGTTTCAGCGTTTATTAGGCGGTAGGCCTGTCGCCGATTCTTAACATCGCAGAACATTCACAACATTTTGCGGTCTCGAACTCGCCACTCACTGCTACAATTCTGCTGTGCTTAACCGCCCGGCCTCCTCGCCGATTCTGACCCGAAACTGGCGCACAGAACTGAGATCGAACCATAACCTCTCTGCGCCAATCCCGGTACTCATCTGCATAGCTTTGTCTAGTCTGCTCTTGAAGGCGTTCATACTCAGAGCGTCAACTATGCTATCATGGAGGCTGTTGCTCATGTCGGTGACTCGAAGCGAGAAGAAATGTTGTCGCATGTATGTGTTACAACGCAGTTTTTTAGTTTATAGCCGCGGCCCCTGGTGTTGGTTCTTGTTTCAAATTCTAGTAATCCTTCAGGGACCTTGTATAAACCATGAGTAGACATGTACTTGTATACCTCAATGAGGTCACCACGCAGACGTCGATAACTGAGGCTTGGAAGCTTAATTATCTTTAATCTTTCCTCATAGGACTTGCCTTTCAAGCCCGGAATTATCCTTCCTTATTGCACGTCTTTGAACAATCTCGACTAAATTTGTGTCCTTTTCAAGTTTCGGGGACCACACGACGTTTCCAAACTTTGCTGTTGCTGTCGTGTGATCGGGCGCACGACAGCAACAAACAACTGCTTCATGGCTTCTGCATCTAGGAACTCGAAAGAGCGTCTGATCAGTCCAAGTCGTTTATTGGCTTTATTAACTTGACCTTCAATATGCTTAGAAAATTTCAACTTAAAAGCTCAAAATAATTATTTATTAGTGCTTCACAAACATTCTTTCGGAACTGCCTCAAAATCTCATTCAATTGGCCTTACATTTGTCCCAAACTCTTTTAGGAGAACATCAACAATTTTTAGGATATTTCTCCATCTTATTTTCTAAATGAGGGAGGTCGCGGCAAACTCTTGGCCCTCATGCATGTACGCATCGATTGCTGCAGTGAAACTGCAAGTGTAAAGACGTTCAGCGAGAGGAATTTTACTCAAACTGTGTTCGCAATAAGAAGTTCTTATTCAACTTGCTCCTCTCGTACAATTTTGTGATCGTAGTGCTTCTTCTTCTTCTTACTTCTTCAATTTGCGGTGCAAAAAATCTAGAGTCTGATTTTGGATTGTACCACCGTAATGAAATTGAATACCAATCGGGATTAATATGTAGTCAGTCTTGTTGAATCATCAAGTTCTCGTCTCAAGTAACAAAGTATAGATAATTTTCCAATATTTTAATAAGTATTCGCGTATTTTTATCTTTACAGAGTAGTAATATTTTTGATGATGTTATATACAACTCCTCATATTGTTACACAAAGAAACACTCCCGTTCAATGTCATACTTCGAGAGCAGTCCTTAAAGAAAATTTTTACTCGCTCATACATGATTTATTTCTTTCTTACTATCTTCTATACAAGTAAATCCACCAACATTCCTGAACCATTACTTTTGCTCCCTACTCTTGGTCCCGTTCAACCCAATCGATCACATACTCGTTTAATGCTCTGCATAATCTCAAACTCTATTCGTGTGATGAAGACTGCCGTATTAATTGATATATTTCATGTGGATAGTTCGAGTCTGTCAAAGCATACCATTGTCTCCAGACACCGATCCGTCAAACTCCAATCAACAACTCAACTGTCGTTTCATGATACGAGTTCTAATAACTATTAATGCATTATAATCAAAGACTGCGACTATATTTCATAACATTTGTTTATAGTTTTGCAATCTACTGAGGCTATATTTGTTATCGAGCATGTACATACATGAGGTCGAAGCGTTACAAACTCATTGCATGCTAATTTTTGTTATTTAAAAAAATTGATTTATTTGAAAAGCACTGCCCCATAGCTTTTGAATGAATTTCTTCTTGAAATACTTTTCTTTTTGAAACGTTGCTTCTAGTTTTAAATTTATATTTCTATATACCAGTAATAGCATAAACACTTATGCAGAAGTGTTTATGCCATTCACGCGATACTTCATCACGTACAAATGTCGAATGTAGACACTTTCGATACCTTAACTGTTTCTTCTTTGGCTGACACGCGATTGCATGCATGTTAAAACCGCAATCAATTAGCCTGTACTATTTATTCATTCTTGTGATCTTGTGATGAGTTTAGGACGTCGTAGTCCACGGTCACGCTAATGCGCCGCCTTCCCATCGACCCTTCCCGCCTTCATTCCATCGACATGGACACAAAAATTGTGGAGGCTATATAAATAGGCAATGAATAAATTATATAATTGCTCTCGAACATTACACAAGGTAAAAATCAGAGAAACAATCGAGGGCTGAAATCCGTATAGTCATATAAGATAATAATAAAATTCACGCGTATTTTTCTTTTGGAAAATCTAGTTACCAATTGTATTTGAAGTATTTAAATGTGGCTCAAGGACAATGTTGCTTAAACTGATACGGAAACAAAAAAAAAAAGCTGAAATAACTGCGCAATATTTACCCTTATCACTAGTTTTGCGTAATATTGTATGAGCGTATGAAATAAATTTGTGCAATTGTAATTGATTTTTTAAATTGTGATAACAAAGACTGAGATATTTGCCGTCTAACTGCACGAATTTGAATTGAATTGCTCCAAGCTAAAATCAAAATTTATCAGTTTGATGCCGTTGAAGATTTTCTTTCTTTGCGATTTTTTATAGATCAAAATCTGGTCTCTATAATGATTTTGCTATGTATTTTACTTATCACTTGGTGATAATTGCTTTTCCCGTCAATCACTGCATTTATTCCATCACTATCGTTGAGCACAAGTGTGTGAATCAATAGAAAGAATGTGACTTTGAGCTTCTAATTAAATTTTAGAACTTATAATACCTGTTATGAAATTCAGCACCTTTCTTCCGCTCGCAGTTTGTGGAAAGTAACAGAAAATTATTTGTATCTAATTTCATTGGATATATTACACATATGTACACTGGTCTGCATTAATACAAGGGTATGTACGAAAGACGAAGAGACTGTACGATGTAGACAAGTCAGGGCTGTTGGCACGCTCAGCTGTGGCTGCGGGCCAGTGCCCAGAATAGCGGCTCCGCCCGGCGTAGTGCCACAGTCGCGCGGCAGTGATGAGCCGAGAGTCGGCCGTCTGAGGTCCGCTTACTCTGCAGTGACCGCGTCCATTACAAGGTGCTTATCGCCACTTGTAGAAACGTTGCAGTGATAATGAATGTCGTACTTAGGATTATTTCTGATTAATAATAACAAGTGCTAGACAAGCATGTTAATGCAAATCCTATCATCAACAATGTTTTTGTTGTTGGCAACTCGTTTGAGTCAAGATTTAGTGTATTTTTTCGCGTTTATTTATGAATTTATGTTGAGATGTCAAATTTTTTTCAATTGTTGTTTATTACTGCGGACATGCCGTGTGCACTGCTTAATTGGCTTGTTGTCGCTCGCTAAATGGAATTACAGTTCATTTAGGATCAATTGATACCAAAATCATTGTGTGCGCGAACAATTAAATGTAAAGATATTTTGATGCTTATTGTTGAAAAATTTTTTGTACAATCCAATCAATGTTATTTTACACCTGCAACTTGTGGAGGAACATACATGTGCAGGGTTCGTGATAACTTTTAATTAACAAGCCAAACGTCGATGCACCACACCATAAATCAACTTTTATTCCAACCCGCTCTTTTCATGTAATACTGAACACGCAGGCGTTTTATAATAGCAAATAATAATAAAGCACATTTAAACATATTGTCATACCGTAGTATCAGTTACCTATTGAAACACGATCAAAAATCAACATTAGGTTTTTGGGTGCATCAACATCGAATAGTTGAAGCGATCAGTTAAACATTGAATGGTTCAAAATGAATGTCACGAACAAAAATATTACGGTGAAACCCTGAAATTCGACCGTTGCGGAAGATGAAATAAGAGTAAATTGAGACGAAATTCAAGGCAGAATTGCGACCCTGAAGTCATCGGGAATTTGGGCAAGTTGACGCGACCTTCGTTCATTCGTCATAATTGACATTAATCTGCTGCGTTATTTAGCTGGTGTTGGAAAATTGTTGGAATATTTTTGCATTTTAAGTGCATTTATGTGCATTAAGGCAATTCATTCGGAAGAAGCAATTCATTTCAGTTGGTAAAGCTTCATTCGGATGGAATTGACGTCGACTTTCGAGGCATCACTGTATATATAATAAGCTTCGATATAACGAACCTTGTAGAAGCCTAGAACTGGCTTCAATTGAATATCTCAATATGGTGTAGTTTTTCCATCTGCTACCTACAAGCTTAAACCTACAATTAAGATGTAGTCAATACCGAATATCCAAACCATATTTATAAAATGCTAGATTCCCCTCATTTATATGGTATTCTGATGTAACGCGATGTTCATTTTGGCACTTTTATAATATCGGCACTACATATCTTCTAAAATTTACTGCTGCCACAAGCAATGAAATTCAAGCTTTGAGTTTTGATCATTTCGAGGCCTAAGTTTTCTAGTTGCCGGCCATCGTGACCGCTCTGCGCCTGTTATATGCCCTCCATTGATGGCAATAATTTGGTCTGAGCTTCTCCCTCGCGCAGGCATGCACTTGAGTGTCAATGGCAAAACTTGCGTCACGCTCTCTGTCAAGCTGCGACCTGTACACGCATGAATGCGGGGTACGTTAGTGTTATTCGTAGGACGAGCAATGATTCCTAAAATTTCTCAAACCAATTCTTTTTTCCAGCGATATCTCATACGCGCCTAATCGATAATTTTATTTATTAAATAATGAAACTAGTTCTAAATTTCAGAAATGGGATCTATCTTTATTATTTGTCTTTCGCTGTCCGCAAGTATAATAATTTTTGACATTTTAAAATCTAATATTAATTGCATGATATTGCATCCCGTTACATTAATTCCATCAACATGCGCTTAAATATGTTTCCCCATTCGAAATGCTACTTCATGCTGTACTGTCTGTACTTGAGAAGAGTTTAGATCGAGAGCCAAACGATCACAGATGTCGGATTGACCAGTTGTCCCAATGCCGGTCGGCTTTCCGAGTGCTCGGATTCACTTAATTACGCGTAGATTGAAATTATTAATATATACGCCGAATATTGCTAATCTGTCTCATATGCACAAGTTCACGTTCACTACAAAAATGGTATTAACAAATTACATATCCCTAGTTCATGATTAAATTTCTTGGATTTCAAATCATCTTGTTTGACATTGAAACTTGCGATTTGAGTAGGACCTTTACGATTGATTGATTGGATCAAAGTGTTGGAAGGTTATTATGGGTTATTATAGCATCTTGCCTTACATAGTACTGGCTTTCAGTCAACCTATCATATCCGAGGTATGTGGTAACACAACATACTACATTCTCTTGTATAAGAAAAAACACTCGTACTTAGACTAATAAAATTATGTTTCATATAAAGTTTAAATCGCAAGCGTTGATCTTGAAAGTCTACTTGAAATTATGACATTCAAATTGAGCCAGTAAAATTTTAACGAGTAAATGTTGTCATTGGCTCAACAATATTACAGAAGAAAACTTCGAAGCGAAAATCGACATCATGACAGTAGTTTGAGTTGCAAAATTATTCCCTACTAAAAATCAGACTATGTAGAATGATTCTATGATTGTTGTGATAAATCTGATGTAAGCCATGCTATGCATGTAATTTATTTGTCGATTGCACGGCATTGATGTCTCCATATTAAGCAAAATTCGGATCGTTCCTCGATTTTGTGCTGTAATATGTAATTATTATTCCTCCGCTAAGATTCATTCAATGTCTAAAAGAGAGTAGTTAATAACGTTATGACAATTAAATGAATTGAACAAACATAACTGTTGTCTAACTTTAGCTTTAATAAGAGTACGTCGGAAGTGATTTTGTACTCGTTTCTGCTGCATACCAAAAACGCAGATTGACCCTCCAGCTTCCCGCCTCGTGGGTCTCAACACAACTCAACCCCGGCGTGAGATTCTTGATATTTGAGAATTTTTCTAGTTGACCGAACTCAGTATTATCTTTACTTGTATTTTACAATAATAATTTATTGCGTACTTATTTATATGAATATATCAATAAAATGCAGCCACTGCTTGTCAAGTGCGGTGTGCATGCAGGTCCGAGGTTAACGAAGCACATCAGCGTTATATCTGATGATCGCACGAACGTTCATTGCGGCCTAAATATCGCGCTAAACTGGGTGGAGTGCCGCTGTATAGTTTCATGCGCGAGCGTAACTCCCACACGCGAATGGCAGCGTCGCCTAAAAGCGACGGCCGTACCTTGTACGGCGAATAAAGGTCACAACCGTTCTTGTGGATCGTCACATCACGGCTCTTTATGCAGTCTTGCAGAGATTCTGTAATATTGCTGGCTTTAAGTTACTCTGTGAGGCATCTTTAACATCCGCACAATATTTTATACAAAATGTTTGCATTGATCATCGTCCGGAAAGAAAGAAATAATTCACATAAATCATTTGTTGCACGGGTATCGCCACTTTTAATAGTAATTGAGCTATTTTAGTCTGGCTCGTGTAAGCCATACCCAAGCTTGCGTGAATTTTACCTTGAGAAATCCTTACTGGTTCAAGTTCGTTTAGATATTATGCCTACCGAAAACAATGCTATTACATATTAGTGCACGTCGCAGGCACAAGCTGCTGCTTCAACATCAATGCAAGCTTCACCAACGATCGTCATTCTAAAGAATTCTCAAAGAATCAGTATGCACAAGAATAGCTGCATCATGTCAAGGCTTAAAATCTTTTAACTTGTGGAGCAACTTTCTTCACACCTGCCTGCTGACGTCCTGCATAGTGCAGACTTCAAACTTTCCATTGCCATTACTTTTTGTGAGAGTCCATGAATAGTAATATTATTCGTACGATTTTTGTATACGTCAATGAAAAATATTGGTATAAAATGCAGACCACTCATGTCCATGTATCTGATTGTCTAAGTTGAAACTAATTTTTCGCTGCACTCAAATTATATATCGGCTTTTCTGCAACGAAGTCAACGCCAGGGCTTTAAAAATGAGCTCAGACGTCTACACACCCGTTCAACATTTAAAAAAGCCAGAACACAGCTTGTTATTTGATACGTGGCTTTAAAAGATAGTATAAGTCTGCTATCTTATAACAGATTTGACGGCGATGTTTACACTAAATTTAAAAATGTAACTTCGAATCTGCTCACTATTTACTCGAACATGCACACTACTGACAATTGTATGCCTGCACTATTGATGTATACGTGTGCAATATTGACTTGTATGTATGCCCTATTGATGTATATGTGTACACCATAGACTTTTATAAGTGCAATTTTGATTTGCAAATACATGGTGCTATTGACTTGTATGCACGCACTGTTGACTTGTATGTACGCACTATTGACTTGTATATACGCACTTTTGACTTGTATGTACGCACTATGGACTTGTATGTACGTACTATTGACTTGTATGTACGCACTGTTGACTTGTATGTACGCACTATGGACTTGATGCTTATTCAGAGGCTTTATATGAAAATCAATTGAATTTACGGATATTTCAGGCTCATTTATAAGCAGTGATAATCTCGTCTTCAAGTTGACCAAAAAATTTTTGAACAATACAATAATGTTTGAACAAATGAAATGTTTTCTTTCAATTACAGTAGGTAAGTAATTCCGTTTATTGAAAATCAGGTTCTCGCTCACCTGAGATTCTCGCTGCAAGTTAAATGGCATCATTATTTTATCGTTGAAATCAGTTTGTTATTTGGTCACGAAATGTTTTCATATCGTGCACTCGAGTTTACACGCAGACTTTGTAACTCTCTTTCCCATTGAAAGAAATCCGTTGATATTTAATTATGTTACAGCACGTATCACTCTTACCTCACTACCAGCCAGTGCGTCACACATCGACCACACGGTAGCATGACAGGATCAAAAATCAAGCCATGAATTGGAAGGCGGAAGCTGTTACAAACTTCAATTTAGACCAAATGTAATGTTGAGTCTAACAAGAATACTAAACAACTTCTGGCCATCACTTGTGATGCGACTCACTGGCAACTACTTTTGTCACCTGCTGCTTTCATCAGTATGCTATTTAAGCTTCTGATTGGTCAGGTTTTCTCCTCGGATCTTCATGTTTATCACATCGCGTTTTTACAACACAACGTTTTATTTGATCAAATAGGGCCAAGTGATGAGTGAGTATCGTTACGTGATCAATTAATGGTTCATAATTTATTCTCGAATATTTTAGTGTCACAATCATAGAGCATGAGTGAAAGTGTGTGCACTTCGTAAACATGAACAATGCTGTTAATTCTCAAATTGTTCGTCTTCTTCTATATGCAAAAGAATAGATTCCATGCAGCAGAGCGTTAGTGTGTTAGTAGAGCAATAAGTGGGATCGTAAATCGCTTATCTATGTTAGAAGATAAGCAAGACAGAGGGATGTACTGTGGCGGCTCAAGCATGGAGTAACTCAGGAAGATCGTGTTTCTGATACTAATTCCTGCTTTGACGATTGCGTTTCAGAGCGGCTACAATGCGGGCGCCCCGGAGCAGCCAGCAACAGGGTGATGAGGAAACTTGTGAGCGAGGGGTGGGGGGAGACGAAGAGAGGAGTGATGGGTGCTTCAAGTTCGCTGAACAGGTACACATAAATAATATTATAATGTTTCGTTTTTCGCAATGAAATTTGTTACTTCGACTACGAGCTTGATTTCGAGAGTAACTAAGTAGTTTCTTAATAATTTTAGTGCGATTAAGATGTGCTATAGAAATCTTTGTAGTATACATACGCATTAATAAAACCTAAGAAAGTGGAATATCATGAAATAAGTAAGGCTTATAGGAACTAGAAATTCAAATAATCACTCATACAGAGCGTCATAAAAAGCGAATGCAAGGAATAAATATTCAATTTTGTTTCAAGGACGAACAAAGAATAACTTACATCAGGTTTATTGCTGGGATTCAAAGCTCTGTTATTTACCAATCAGTACTGAGATTGCATAATCTAGTATAATGTTTGTAATCTTCTTTAGGCATGAACCCATGTTGTTCTAGTTATTTACGACTTATTCATATCTGATTAAATGAAGGTAGAATTAAAAATCATTTGTGAGCAGTTTAATTTTGTTAAAGAACGATGACTACTAGCCCTTAAGAATATTTCATATATTTCGTGTCGACGTGCGTTATATGGAAAAATTAGAGTTTAGAATTATGGGATGTGCTTGGAAATAGATTGAGCAAGATTTTATAAGTTCAACTCTGAATTTTAGCTAGTACCATTGGTTAAAATAAATTAATGCTTAAAATCGAATTGAAACTATAAAGGAAATCAGGTCGTTTTATATGAAATAAAATATTGTTTATGTAGATTGTAGAATACGAAATCAAATGTGCCATTCTATAAGATAACTAGTTTTAGTTCATGAATGTCAACATGAAACTGAAGATCAGAGAACAATGTGTTCCATTTATCACAGAGGGGCGACTATAGTAATAATGAAAGTTTTGTAAACTGTAAAAACTTTTCATATATGTTTTTTTTAATATTACATTGAATATTTCCATGATCTGGCATTCTATAAAGTTCATCGTGTTTTGCTCACCTGTCTTCTCGCTGGAAATTAATGAATTGAAAGAGGAACGCTTCGAATTAATGATAATTTAGAAGCCCTAGACCTAAATTATAATCAACACGGTTAATCGACAGACTAAACTTTGATGATTACTTGAAGTGGGAGTGGGACAGACTAATATCATTGTAATGAGAAGCGCTTGTTCGAGCTCAACCTTTCTTCGGGGAGTCCTTGTACACACACGTATGCGATGAATTATCCTCAATAATTTACGTATTTAACTGCTCAAGCTTACTTCTTAGTATTGATAACTTAAGCTCGTAATTATCTTGCTTAATAAGAGCATTCTGAAACAAATTTCACACTATACATTTGGGCGTAAATTTTACTAAAAGACTAATCGACAATATTCCATCACGTTTATGTTTTAAATTAGGTATCGGTTATGCGTTCATCTAAATTCATCGTCGCTTCGTTTAAGATATGAAGCTAATTTACAACCATCGAATTGTCACCCGCAACAGGTGCTGAGAGGCCGTCAGCTGCGCCTGCCAGCTTCTTTCCAGAGAGCCTCATCGCTGCCGCGCAGGATCGCTCGTTCTGTCACCCCTCAGCCAGAAGCTGAGGAGACTGAAGTCCGGGCGACGGCTCGCACTGACTTCCGTTCTGGTGAGTAGCACCAACGACATTCACGACATAATGATTACTAATATGTTAAGGTAACAGTGAACAGTTTGATGGCAAACAGTCTAAGCTACTGGACTGCCACGAAATAATTGATATTACATACCAAGACGGCATTTTTTTGGATGAGGTAAGGAAATTATACATACATAGTTTTGAGTTGAAATTGAGAATTAGACTTATGATACAGAGTAAACCCGATTTCAGAAAGCAGCGAAGCCGGATTTAAAGGGGGAAAGAAAAGAGCAGCTTCAACGTCGCCCTCTAGGAATGAATTTCATCGGTCACTAACAACAAGAATCCCACGTCAGCTTCGTTCCTTCCTACCAGCACGCATGATGGCGAGGTACAGTTTACCTCCTCGTCCCACCCGAAAAGCAGGACCAGTAGGTAGAACGTGGGTTAAAGTCTATGATGACATAACTTACATGGACGATACCTCTCAAGAATATTACCCCGTTGTTGGGTACAGCGGAGCTCCCATGAAAGTGCCCGAAGCCAATCCTCTCCCAAGGCCCCCGACTCCACCACCACCGTCGAGTCAGCGAGCCACAAGACGCTTGTCACCGACGCCTTCGCAACTCAGTGAATACGATAACGTCCCTCGATCGCAAGACGAAATTTGTGTTCCAGATGCTATAGAGATGAATCCAGATCTTTCGCCCGAAGCACGAAGGAGAGATGCAGATCGCGAACTCATTCAGAGAGAACTTTCTCTGAAGCAAGTGGCCAATGAAAACAAAGAAGTTGTTAGTCAGGAGCGTCCTACTGCACGGAAGCGAGAAAACACTCGTTTCAAAGGACGTCGTCAGCGTCGTAGTGGCACACCCGTAGCTACGGACCGCACGAACGGCTTCCACGATGAAGATTCCCAAGATGTTGCAAATCGAACTTTCGAAACTATCGAATACATCAATGGCGAGGCTAAGAAGCCATCACTTGTTGAAGACGAGTACATTGTTCCTGAATTAAAACAATCTCCTCCACCCCGTCCGAAACGCGCAACAAAAAATTACGAAGGTGTGAGTAACTCCGGTCAGAAGAAAATTCAAACTCCCGATGTTGAAACTGTTAATGAAGGAGACGCCTGCGTTGAGAATGCCGGTGTTCAAGAAATGGAACCATCGCGTCCTGCGAGGGGGATAAAAATCTACGAAACCATCGAAGCACCGAGCACAGGATTTGCGATACAACAAAACGGAAGACGAGACGAATCAATGATAATAGCTCACCAGGCAGAAAATGAACCTAATATTGCGGAAACTATTAAAACCGATAAAGAATCGTCTGGAATTTCAACAACACAAAAGGAAGCAGAACCTCTTAAACCCACGAAACCGAAACGAGGCGTGAAACTTTATGAAGATGTTATTCTTCAAACCAAAGAGGTGGAGAATCTTGTTTCATGTTCCCAGTTACTAGAAGCGAATGCGGCTAACGAAGGACTGGGGCCAACTAATGCGCAACCCTCGTTTGAAGGTCAAATATTGGAAAATAATTTATGCAAAACTCAGGAACCCACAGGAGAGATTTCTCCTGACAATTCAAGGTCAGAGCCTGAGAAACAAAAGTTAAACAATGAGCATTCTGGTGTATTGAATGATATTTCTAATTCAATTATAAACGCATGCGAAGAAAGGCCAAGAAAACCAAAACGAGGTATTAAACTTTATGAAGATGTGATCCCAAAAATTAATAATGTCAAAGTTGTTTCTGAATTTGTTGCTATCGAGAGTAAGAAACTTGTTAGCAGTCAAGATAACATCCCATCTAAACCTGACAGAGGACACAAAGTTTATTCTTCAATTATTTTGCGGGATAAATATGAAAACGTAGAAAACGAAAACGAGTGTGTAAAACAGTCTCACGAGACGACTCCTTCATACGCAACAGTTCAAAAGAGCAAGGACAGTCAAATGAAAGATGTAGTTGATGCTTCTCCTCCACCGATTCCTCCCAAGAAGAGAGCAAGGCGCGGGGTGTCACCCAGTGCAGCGTTTCATGTTATTCCACCACGCCCAGCAAGGCATTTGAAACCAAGGGATCGATCCGCTGAAGCCATACGACGTTCTAAGCGTCAAAAAACTAATGTAAATGCTAACGACTCTACTGATACCGATCCTAACGTTCCTCCTCAGAAGCCAACTCGCGGCCATTCCAACAAAGGAATTTCTAAGTCTGGAATTAATGTTGAACCCATTATTGGAAAAGTAATAATCGAAAGTGGTAAGGTTCCCGAAATGACGATTATTAGCTCCGACAGCAAAAATTACGAGAATATTGATTTTGTTGACCCCCGTGTAAAATTCAAGTCGCGACAGCTACCTCCAATTCCTGGAAAAACGACAGCTGTCTCTGCTACTGTACTACACAATGCAGTGCCCCGAGTTAATCCTGATTCACCTGCTGTTGAGGATCTGCCTCCAGAAAGTGAGACAAGCGTAGTAATCACGGCCTACGATGAGTCATACGCCTGTAACGATGCTGGGAACTCAGACCTGACTAGCGCTCCCAGGGTTAGTGCAAACGAATCGAGTGTGAGAGGTGGTTGTGCTTTAGTTCGCTCTGACTCGAGCCTTGACAATATGTTAGAAAAAGATATCGATCTCAATTTGACAAATATAGAGTCATCGTTTGCTACTCTAGATACAGTTCTGCAGTCGTTAAAATCCTATACAGGTCCACCTATTCTTTCTCGGACGCAGTATGAACCTAATGTTAGTGATAACACAGTGAGCAAAACGTGTTCGGCCAACACAGCTAACGAGAGCGATTACTCGAGCACTACCACCGATAACATTCAAACGGTAGTGAAGGGCTCAAATGACGATAACGCAGATATTAGCAGCAAAGGTGACGTGAAGATAGTAGAAGCCTCATTAAGATTTAATGGTCAGTTAGGCGTTGAATGTAGCGATCAATGTGGAATTCCTGTGGTGTGCATTGAAAAGGAATTTATTGCTGAAGACTCTGCTTCGCTCAGTGCAAGCGAGAAAAACGAGTGCGCGCAAGCCTTGGCTAATGATGAAAAAGTTGCTAGTGCCGTGCTAGTTGAAAACTGTGCCACTGAAAACGAATTACTTGCTGAATTGGTATCGATCCCGTGTTTATCCTTTGAAGACAAAGACAGACTAACTGACTCTGCTGCCCTGGGAAATGAAAGTGAACCGTTATCTTTATCTACTGAAATTGTTAAAAGCGATCTTAAATTGTCTATAGCTGCCGAAAGTACCGCAGGTTTTGACGAGTATGTTGCAGAAGCAATGTGTACTGGACAGTCGGATTCAGTTTGTTGTCAAATAAGCCCCCTCCGAGAAGGTGCCAGGAGACTATCCGTGGCAGCTGAAAGCGTTCTTGTAAATTTTACCCCCGAAGCAACCGAGGACTTGAGTTACTTAGCTTCCTCCACGACAGGGACGGTTATTGATGATGATGATGCTCCCAGGTCAAAAAATGAAAGGAAACTATCCATTGCGGCTGAGATTATCGCCAGTGATTTTGATGAAACAATTGATGTTAATGAAGCAATTCCCCGAGCTCATATTGCGGACAACATTCACGTAAGTACGCACGATGGAGGAAATTGCATATTGTCAGTTGCAGCCCAATCTGTGGCTCTTGAATCAAACCCCGAAACAATTCAGGAACTAGGAACCGCTGAAAATACTGAAAGCGAATCCTTTAACTGTTCGAGTCAAATTTCTGCTCCTGCCGTTGCCACTTCATGTGAAGAATCCTCATTGCACGGGAGCGGCCGCAAGATATCTGTTGCAGCTGAAACAGTTGCTTTGGAATTCATGCTTGAGAGCACGCAGATTTTCGGCGGAAATAGTTTGATTGCAGAAACATTCAATGCGACTCCAAGAGATGATAGTTGTGCCATAGCAATTGCTTCTGTCAGCGTTACGTCTGGAAGCTTTGCTAACACCGTTGTTAATTCATCTAACAATAATATATCATGCGTTCAGTCACAATCGACGGATGAGCCAACTGAGGCACCTAGACAGATTTCAGGAAATACCCCAGAGAAAACTCTGGCTTCATCGCCAGAAGCTGGTATTGGTGTTGGAGTGCCGGTCTTGCCGGATGCGACACCTTATTACCTATCTAAGGAATCAAATGAAATTTCAAATCTTGTTGAAACCAATGCTTCAGATTCATTAGGTGGGAGCCAGGCGAGTATAACTGACGATGATTCTGTCATTAGCGTTGTAACTAAGGACGACCTTGCTGCACGCGATAGAAATGGTTCATCCCCGTCAACTGATCCACTGAACAATCCAGCAATTTCTGAATCAGCTCCGACTCATGTTCCTGCAACAGACGACTCCAATATTGCTGAAGGTGTGGCAGACATCAGTAATCGTTTAAAAGGTATCAACAATTTTCTCGACAGTCTTGTTCGTAACTTTTCGCCCGAAAAATGTGACATTGAATCTCTATTGGACGGAGATTCTACTCAAAACCTGGACCCTGATACTACCTCGTTTTCCCGTGATCATGATTCTGCTTGCCCTTCTTTGCCTGTTAATGTATCTGTTGCCCCTCCTGTCCCTATGACTAACAGTGACGATAGAATGGAAAGTAAAGAACCAAGTGAACTATCAGAATCTCATAACGACTTTACTTTCGTCGATATTGCTCTTGTACAAAGTCCACCGGAGCCAATTTATCCTTCGGATCTCGGAATCCCTGCAGCACTCGTGACCACGGCTCCCTCGCCTTCAATAATTGGGGCATCCGCTGCTCATGAAGCAGTAGCTGCAGTGCCAGGAGGTACAGTTAGTCTTGATATATGTTCTGATCAGACGTCTCTGACATCTTTAATGGAAAGAATTTCTAGAACAGACGCTGACACAACCACACGTGATCTGACGAGACGTGATCTCGCAAACGAATGTATCTTCACGACCGAATGCACGGATTCTACCGAGCGCATTGTTGAGGCTGAGCAGACTCAGCAGACAGTTCCCTCTGTGTTCAGCTTGCTCGATAGCGGCTTAGGCTTGCAAAAGGACGTTGCAGGAGACGGAGGTTCGGTTTTACTTTTTATTGACGGAGAATGGCATCGGTTGTGAGCTCATGAAACTCTACGACTCTTAGATGGTTAAAGTTTGAAGTTTAGTTCGTAGTATTATAAAATAAATTTAATAATGGGTCTTGTGAAGAAGTTACTAGTTACCTAAATCTTTGTAACAGTGTGTTTGATTTGGTTGTATTACAATCTTCGATTCTTAGAAGTGTTTATTTAGAAGCAACTTGTATATCAGTTAACTAAGAAGTTGCGAATCGCTTTTATTATTTGTTTGTTTTTGTAGGATGTTCTTGAAGAACAATGTATTTGTTATCTGATATACCTAAGTTACTTGATGCTTGGGGCCCGGGTTCTTTGCGATACTTTCGTGAACCTTTTTTGTATCCTCCTTTAATGTTTCGAGCCTCTTGCATAGAACGCTACCTGCTCATATTTCGGCCTTTAACACTCCCTGCTACTCTTGACCAACTCTTATTACCGGATGCCTCAAAGATTTCGACTAAAATTCTTTCTAAGAATGCAATTAAACTTATCATATGTGATTCTTCTTGAACCTGATTTTTCGAAGCTTTTATTTAGTGCGACTTCATAGCCTCCATACGCTTTGCTTTTACATTGTCGTCGAGATTTCACGGTCTTTTATCCCTATCGTTGCCAGTTGAACATCATTGATCATAACTTCTTTTTAATTAATTGTGAACATCAACGTTTCTTCACTTTTACGGTTAACTTTTTTGATGCAATATCTTTTCATCATTAATTCAGATCGTAAGAAAATTAAAACCAGTTGTTTTTCAATTGCACAAAAGGAAGCGTACTATTTTCAACCATATGCTAGCTACGCGGTGCTGCTTACTGATCAGAAATTGAAACACACTGAACACTTCAAGCGAATTTCAAATCACAGCAGGAAATGCGTGAGTTGAGAGACAAGTTGATAATGAATAATATGTCTATTGGTTGCCGTTTGAATTTCGGCTATATCACTAGAAGTTCGTGGTGATGAGAATCCAGAATCAAGAAATGTACGCACAACTATGGCGATCATAACATTGTAACCCAACACGAACACTCGTGAAGGAAACCTTGGTTATTCGACATGCACACTTCCTGGAATTTCGTAGGTGTTGCCATAATCACCAAGGAAAGGAAGCTGTTTTCCTACATGCTACGTGTCGCCGTATATATTTCCGTTTCGTGAAGTCGCTCTGCTGGTGGTGATTTTCCCTACATAGCGCAGCGCTGGTGTTGTCAGTCACTAGCGCGTCACTGCCATGAGCAGATGTCAAGCGCAAGCGTCCGTCTCCACTGTTTACACAGCTGTGAGTTTCGTTTGACAATAATTCCTAAAGATAAAAGTCTTGTGTTTGGTGCTACAGTAAATTGTTTAAACTGCCTGACTTGACGAAATGTGATTGTCTTCTGAGTGATCAACGTCCCTTGACGAAACTGCCAAGAAAACATGTATATAATGAATACGGAATTATTTACTTCATGACTTCGTGGAAACTAATGAATGAATTTGAATTACAGAGATTAAATATATGTCTATAAAATCCTGAGCAGAAAAATTCACATGTTCCTGTATGATCACTTTGATCAGTGTACCCCAACTCCTATATAACTGCCTCCCGATACTTTTTTTGCAATCATTTCATAAATTTGAAATCACTTGATTACCGCTTTTTTTTAACGTACGAGCTTGGTTGTTATACTTCTCATGATGTTTCAACATTCACTTCGCATTTGAGAATTTCGGTTGTTGTGTGAAACCTTTGCAACACTAACTCATTTACCATAACTTCCATGTGCTGTGTCATTGTTTGAATTCATATTCTTTACCAAATAGAATAGGTTTTTTCCATAACTGTTGCCTGACCATGTTGGTCTAAGTTCCCAAGTAAACAAGGTATATAACTTCTCAAAGCAAGTCCTTTATATTTATTTATAGGTACACTAAGGTACTATATACCTACTTTATATATTTTTACAAGGTACATATACTTGCAAAGTCGTTTTAACCATGTCATCTTGACCCGCCAAATTATTAACTAGGTATATACTTCATAATAATTAACAGGTACATATTTCCCATACCAAGTCCTTTTAACTATGTCATCTTGACCCGCCAAATAATTAGCAAGATATTTACTTGCCATACCAAGTCCTTTTAACTATGTCATCTTGACCCGCCAAATTATTCATCGTTAACCTGGTGAAGGCCCTAAACAATTCACGAACGCTACTCGCCATGATGCAAAGGTTACGATCTCAAACTGAACCTATAAATACCTAATTATATTTATCAAGAATTCGGGAACTTATTCTGAATGAATTTCAATTGTACAATTGCTGAATAAGAATTTTTCGCCGCTGTGTGGTCCTGATAGGAATCGCTTTCTAAATGAATGCCTTGAATCAAAATTTTGGTCGACAAAAAACTGATTTAAGGTAAAAATAAATAAGTAAATTTAAAATAATAACTCTGAATACATTTTTCATTATTAAAGTAATACTTTTTACATATGATAAAGCTGTGAATAATAATAATTAGAAATAAAATGTTCCGCTACATTGTCGCTAACATGTGAGACGATGTTATCTGCCTTTGAGAGCGCAAAAGTTGGTTTAGCCGCTAAAATCTGAAGGACGATAGCCATATTATTTATGACCGTATTTATCTGTTGTGCGTTATCAGTCCACTGTGGTTCAATTTTAGCTTGTAGAGACCTTCATTTCAAAGCTCTTATTATTTATTGCCATACACTTCAAAAAATTACATTTAATAATCTGAATCTTGCCTCTTGGACTTCTAAAAATTTTCAAATTTATTGTGCATGGGTAAATTATTATTATTCTTTTTGGCCCAGGAACTTGTGAGATTGCGATCAGTCAATAAAAGCTCACTTTGTGTAGATACGTAATCCTGTTTGGACAGTGAACCATCTGCATATATTTAACTAGAAAATATTTTGTTTTCGTCTCATGAACTAGAACTATATACATTAACAATAATTAAATTACCACTTACATTTTAATGAGAGACGCATTACAATTAGTCTAATTTCTATGCAACACATTGACCATTCACATTTGTCTTACTTTTCTGAATGATGAATGTTGGAAACCAGCTTTTCATACAAGACTCATTGTTACTGAATTATTAATGAAAAATTCGCAGAACTGTCGATGTGGATGATTACAATGACTAATTCCCTTCTTAATCAGTTTCCTGTGTGGTGTTTCTTCTATCTGAATTCGCAGCGTTCAGCTGCACCCACGTATGTTGGCTGTATCTCTTGTTCTAAAAGGATTTAGATCTCAAACTTGTTAATTAGTGAAATAATTAATGTCGAAGTATATCAATGTCATGGAACAATGAAACGTATAGTTATTTTCGTAAAATGTATCTAAAAATCGTATGCCGAGAAAATCCTCACATCTTAGATTTAATTTTTCACGACTTTGCTCGCAATTTCATTAATAATAACTTGAGTAGTTTTACTTCACTCCATTACTTAAACCTAAATGTAATGGCTGGGATTGTAAAATGCAAATATAAACATTTACAAAGCGTGAAACAAAGATCGTATGTTAATTCGGTTTGCCCTAAAGAGGTCCATTCTGAACGTACTTGATTTTGTTTGACTTTCCTGATTGTTTCCTTGTGCGGCCAAGCCGTTTAATAGTAATCTTCTAATGTTTTTAAATGCTCACAGTGTGATTTTTGGGGCGACACGTTTTACATATATACTTGTACATGATGCAAACGAGTTCTGTAGAACATCACCATCGAACATTAAACAAAGCGCCCATAGTTTCCATTTAAACTTGCAATAAATATCAAGGACGTCGCGATAAGATTTTGACTCGTTATCGCAACAGACTCGATCTCCAATGATTTCTAAGAATAGCAAGTCGAAAATCCTCTACAGAAGTAAGGGATTATTAGTTCTGATACCCACATTATTTTTTTAGTATCATTTTTTTGTCGTTGAATCAGTTTTTTTTTTATTTTTTTTTTATTAGCGATTCATCAATTCACATAGGTTAAACTCCATTGATTACTTGTGCTTAATGCATGCACATTTTTTTAATCGGCGTGCAATGCACATCATGAGTAAAGCACTCTTCAACACGCTCAATTATATTCGACGTTTAAATTGTCGTAGGCTTGGCGCGCTATTTTCCACTAGCTCAATTAATGATATAACTCGCAATGGATAGTCCGGTGACTGGCCGGATATGCTGCACTAGAACAGCTTGCGCGTCTTACCTGACGTTTTCTGAATGTAATATTGGTTACGCGTATTATTGATAAACTGAACAGCTTGTATTGGGTGATATGGTTTGATTTAATAAAGACGGCCACTAGTTAATAATAACTAATTGCTGCACACTTGGATTAATGCGTGCACCGCCTCAAAATTACGTCGCACGCTGAACGAATAGATATGTGCTATTTCAATATTTTGGCTTCGGAGTTCGAACTATCTCCATCACTGAATGCATATTCTATTGTACGAATTTAACTTGAGATTATCTTTATCAGAATTCCTGTTCCACGCAGCTATCACTCTGGTGTTCTCATTCACTTAGATCATCAGCACAGATGACATGGAAATATACATGCATTTATCAGTCAGTATCTTAGTGTCGAGCTTATCTCTAAGTAACATCAAACTCTACTTATCGTGACCATTTAGAATTAATGATGTTTTCACATAACATTCGGGTACATGACTCTTTTATATAATACGATTTGTCTGATAACCTAAACATAAATTTATTTTCAAATAATGCGGACCAATTTTTTATTTCTGTTTCAGTCCATCTTAAACATAGCTGCAAATTAGTTTCAGTACTTTCACTTTAGTTAGCTATCAATATGTTAGTAAATCTAGGGATATTAATTTATATTAAAATTGCGATACATCAAACTATGTTTCAGGAGAGAAGCGTTACTTGTTGCATCAGATTAGATAATTACTTCAATCTCTTGTGGATTCTAACTTCAAGTATTGAGTGGGGAGGGCTTGCATTGTTAGTCCTTTTTGTCGTAAATTCGTGTGAATTGATTATGGCAACATGAAATCCTGATTTTATTGTGTTTATCCTGGCTCTTTAATTGTGTTGAGCATAAATTGTGTAATCCAGCCTTCGTTTTCCGAGGCCTCATAATTCTTCCGCTATAAATAGAAATTTACAGACCAAGTCCCGACATGATGGGTATTAGCAACCCATATATATCTCTATACAGAGTCGAGCTCCAAACATCCAACCCATACGTTCCAAGATATATTAGAGATAATCACTAGGATACTGTAATCGCTAAAAATTGTTTACTGGATTGCACGAGAGCTCAACTCATTCCGGTCATTAATACTCTTTCTTCAATTATTCCTTTCCATTCGCAACATGAAATTATATCGTTCCTTCTGCAACGTTATTTAATTGTCTGATGGTGCTCATCCCTGGGAGATTCTACTACTCTACTGTCATTGTGATCATAAGTCGAGTGAAGGACTCTCCATCAGCAAGCTTCCCAGCGCAGTAGTGATGTTTGCCGACTCTCACTCACATCAGGAATTTGTCCACATTATTTACCACCGATATTGTCCCATTCTCATCATTTAAACTTTCCACCAAATCTCTATAATTTCTGTGTGCATGGTTCTCGCAAGAGAACTGAAGATTTCTCATGGAGATCTGTACTTCCATCGGCAAAAGATACGCTATTGGAATTAAAACTCGCTTACTGTTTCAATGTAATTTTGAAATAATGACTACTTTTAAAAAATTATTTAGCGCACGTCGTTGCCAAGCTCTAGCAGCTAGCTGAATGATATTCGGAGTAATGCCCACGTTTCCTAAAAGAGACTTTTGTGCTCTAATATCAGATAATATATGCATTATTTACGCCAAGATAACCCATTATCGTAAGAAGAACAAATTCTTTTTGTGTACACCTCTGAATCGTTATGCAGCAATTGCCAATTAATTTATGATGCATTAATTAACCGATGCATCATGAGATCTATAATTCATGTCAAGATGAATCATTCAAGTTTTTCATTCAAAATTTTCAGTAAATCGTTCATCAATCATTCAACAAGTTTTACGAGTGGTCACATATTCATTCCCCTAATTAAACACTTTGCATAGAGTCGAGGGGGACTTTTTAGGCGTGTTATGGCGTTCGTATAGATTCAATGCCTGCAATCTTTGTTATTTCAAGCACCCTGCATGCCAATTTCAAATGTGATTATTTTTCACTATGAAATATTTTGCTTATCCAGTGCCTTTAAATCATGCTAACAAATATTAAATGTGTGCTATCAGTTATTGAAATGTACGGTACTCGTCAACTCACCTTTGCGTCATCGTTTTGCGTGTACCTTCTTCCTGCATGGTTTTAACGACAGAAATGTCTGTCTTTAAATAATAGGTGTGACTAATAGTTATGTTTTTAAAGGTTTTATACTTCTGTCCTCGTGAATATGAAATGTTTTCATATACATATATTATTGTTTGCATGATTGCTGTAATGATCCTGAAGTCAGGTTGAAGTTGTTTTAGTTTAACAATTTTTAATACCATCAGACTAAATTGCATATATCTCGTCTCTGCTTTGAATTATCTAATAATTTTCGTAGTAGGGCGCTGACTTTGCTTAAGTTAATATTTCCATTCTTCGGTTTTGATTTGTTTCATTTGATAGGCTGAATTCAAACTACGTGAAATTAGGCTATATGTTTATTTCCTGTCTTACTTTTATAAGGACAGTGGACTTAATTATTGACAGTTTTAATTTTGCAGATGAACTGTGTTGCTAGTAGATCTGCCATTGAAGATAGTCAAATCAATTCATTCATTGAACATCAATCATAATCCCAACAGTTTTTTCTTTCCAAGCTTAAATATCCTCAAGTTCAAGTAGAAACTTGAGTTGTACCTATCTATTAATCTTCAATCATCATTCATAATTTATGACTTTAAAATCATCCGAAATGCCCATGGAAGAGAACACGATTACGAAAAAAATGAAACCAGTTATTCCACCGAAACCGAAAACCTACAGCAGACCAACACCACCTCCTAAACCACCGAATCTCTGTCCAAAAAATTCAAGAGTAAAACTACAAATTTCTACGCACAATAAGAAGGCTGCCAGTGGAGATTCGGATGAATGTGACAGTGGAAAATGTTCAGTTGTGTCACAAAATGAATCCATAGTAAACGAGGAGCAAGTTTGTCATCCATTCAATCCCTTGTGTAGAAGTTCAGCCTACGTCGAAGCAACTGTTTCGTCGAAGGACGACAGTGAAAGTGGTCAGTGCAATGAAGACGAGAGTTGCGAAGCAGGCACAATCATGAATCACTTGTTGCCTCCTCTAAGCCAGCTGAGCGCCACGAGCAGCGACGACTCACGGAACGGTTGGCGCGACAGCGCTGCTCTAAGTAACGCTCCTTCACTTAGCAGTTCAGTGTCGTCCGTGTGTTGGGAAAGCATACGAGATCCTGCGCTCAGCGACCAATTAGACAAACTCAGCGACCTGGAGTGCTCTGGAAGATCAAATTCGGCATCCCCCCAACCCCTGTGTGACCCTTCTAGGTCCAGTAACCAATTCACGACACATAGTGATCGATCTAACAGCCTTGATACGTTGCCTGCTGCGTGTGACGCCTCTAACAGTGTGACCTCTACTAACAGAGAGGATAATCAAGACCATTCCGTACCTAGTTCTAGAAATAAAAAAATTTTTAATCTAGTTAAAGAAATGATGACTTCCGAGGAAGTATTTTTTAACGTATTGAAATTGCTCAATGAAAAATTTCGCCAATTTGTTACCGAACAAGGCTGTGTTATTTCAAATGATAATCATAATAATAATAGGTTGGCAATATCTCGATGCGGTCATATAACAGAAGAAGAACTCAACCGAATTCTAAATTACCTCCCGCAATTGCAGAATTTTAGTGAAGGCTTCCTGGCCGACTTGAAGCACCGGCTCACAGACTGGGATCAGCATCAAAAAATAGCAGATATAATCATCACCAAAGGCCCTTTCCTCAAAATGTATTCATCCTACATAAAAGACTTCGAACATCAGTGTACTCTCCTTGACGAAGCCTGCTCGAAACATCCTAACTTCGCAAAGGCAGTTCAAGCTTTCGAAGCCAGCGACGTGTGTTGCAAGTTGAGCATAAAGCATTACATGCTGAAGCCTGTCCAAAGGATACCCCAATATCGTCTCTTATTTCAGTCCTACGTTGATTTACTTCCTTCTACTTCGCCTGATCTACTAGACTCGCACAAGGCTCTCACCATTCTTGAAGGTGTTGCTGATCACGCCAATAACACTATCAAAATTGAGGTAAGACATTTTACGATTATTTATTTTTCTTTTATGCCAACTGCATCTGCGAAAGTAATAGGTTTTTCCACGGCAGCATATACAGTTGCGGCAAATATATGAAGTAATTTGACGAGTAAGTTAATATGCCACATGAAAGATGGCTCGTTGCATGGCGAATTGACATATTTCACGTTATAGTCCGATTGTGACTTGCACCATTTTGAGGGGCGCATGCCGGAGGCCAGCCTTGCCAAACTTCACACTTGGTTCATATTCCTTTCCATAGGTAAGAACGCTAGAGTGCATAACGGCATATGAAGTCAAGTGCACAAAGCCATAGCGCCGGATGTCCAAAGCCACAAAGAAGCTTGCCGAAGGTAAACATGGCCATACTGCATCTGGCCAAACCTCCTCTGGCCTAACATCTTCGGGCCTAACCTATACGAGCTGCAACCTTTCTCAACCCAAAACAAACCTGCGCGGATCCAACCTAACCTCATTGGCTGCAAGAAGTTAGAAAGGCGGTCTAAGTGTGCTGGTAGAGCCAGTCATTGGCTGCAAGAAGGTTGTGAGCCGGGACAGCGTGAATAGGTTAGGCCAGAAGAGGTTAGGCCTGAGTAGGTACAGCCGGATGGATAATTGCCTGCTTATGAGCGAGCATGCTGAAGCATTGGCTAAAGACCTACGGCTCTATTATCTTTCGGCAGTGTGTCGCTTGTCTGGATTACGGAGTTCAAGCGTAGTCTGCGGCTTCGAGTTTTGAGGCTTAGTAAAGTTAGTGCATGGTGGTAGCTAGGCGTTGGCTCCAGGGCTTATTTAGGAGTAAAATTTGTGGCCTACGGCTGCGCCCCCCTTATTGAGGTGTACACACAGTTACTCCTTGCTTCAATTTCGTGGAGTTCGATTCTTATTTACATTCTGAACCTCAGCTAGCGTTGACGCTATGTTTATTAATTTAATTGTTATTATCATGAGGATTTGCAGGAAAAGATTCTCCTGACAAAATTGCATTTCGTGTGTGGTTAGGTTCTTAGGTTGTGTAATTGCTAGTCAATAATCTCGAAATCTTTTGACAAGATTCTGGCTGGTTTTTTGGTCTTTTTTGCTGTGTAACTGAATTGCCAACGAAAATAGCGTAAGGCTAGTCTGATCGCGACTTTCCATCTAGATGGTAAAGAAACCGGGTAAGAAGTAACTACTTTCGAATTCCTAAAACAGCATCTTGCGTGCCTACCTGACTGTTTTAGGACAGCATCTTGCGTGCCTACCTGACCTGTTTATGTCTGAATTGGATATTGACTGGTTGTTATTGCAGGACAAAGTTTCGGAGCTGCTATCACTACAGCGTCGCATTTACCGCTGTCACGACGGTTGTCAGCCCGAGCTCATCAAGCCGGGGCGACAAGTGCTCAAGCAGGGTGAGCTTATGAAGCTCAGCAGACGCGGCATGCAACCAAGATACTTCGTGCTCGTGAGTACTCCAGACATTAACTGGTATTTTGTTAACCTAATTATTCACTAATGATGCTGTTACCCTGACGTGTAACTGGGATTGACAGAAATTTCTTTTCTAAAGGCAATGTTGTGTGACAATAATCACTCATATTAGTTGCGGAGCGTGACAGTGAATAAAACGGTAAACTAAGGTTAGCTTCCAATCGATTTGTCCCGAAGGTGTGCATTTTTATTTATTGTGTTACAACTCTGCGTTTGTGTGCTTATTTCCGTAATGCCTACTCAACTCACTAACATGAGCAATATTTGCTCCTTCCTCCGACTTGTGAAAGTTCCAGGAATTTTCAAGCTTGTCTACTACTGGAGTTATGATGTATTAAATGTAGTTTTTAATTTTCGTTTATAAATTATATTATAATTCTTGAGTAAACCACTGGATTGTTCAAATTTTTCCATCCACCAGCTGTATTAAAGTTACCCATCGTAACTGATTGTAACTAAGAAACATTTTTATTAAGCATTCCTGCCTCTTCACATACTAATACTTCAATATTTTCTAGTAAAATTTCAAGTTTTCACCGTGACCATAATGCTCTTGCGCGCCCGCACATGTAGTACGTATGGAAATTGAACCTCTGCGTTGTTCATTTAATTTATCGCAAGTGTTTATCTACTGGATGAATATTTAAACGTCATATTTGTTTTCAGTTGTCAGACGTGTTGTTATATACGTCGTACAGCAGCAGTGGCAACGCCATGCTGAGACTCAACACTGAGCTGCCACTAGAAGGCATGAAGGTTTCAAAACCCATCGCTGACGACTTCAAGGCTGAGCTCACTATACGCGCCACGCAACGGTCCTTCACTCTACAAGCAAGGTCTGGCCATGATTTGAATACTCAATATCCTCGAGATCACTTGCAAGGATAGATTTTTGATGAGATCACTCAGGGTTCATCCCGATGATGGTTACTGTAAAATTTATGTAGGTCTTAACAGAAGAAAAATTTCTTCATTGTTGAGATGCGTTCTTTGCGTTTGCTGCAGCCGCGTTATTTTTGTCGTGAATTGAACGCTGCGCAGATCAGACCAACTGCTTGCTGTGACGACAACCTTGACAGAATCGAAGTAATTTAGGCGGACCATACGTTTAGAACTTACGTTGCCTGCCGGGTGCTGAGGGTTGTTGAATGACTCCTGCACTAATATTTTTACTCTGTTTTGTCAGTTAATTATTGATTTAGGTTAATGGGTTCGAAATTAATGAATTACAACGCGGATTAATCCTTTTTCAATATTATTCCTTTAAAAAGTGACGAGTAGATAAGTTTTATTTACATTATTTTTCTGTAGGATGTCTTCATTGTGAAGTGCTTTAAATTTACTGCAAACCTTATAGCCAGTTTCCTAACTTTACTCGAAGCGCGATTTTTCTGCACTTTACTACGTACCGAGTACATAAAATTTTCCCGATGCACAAATGATTCAATAGCAATTTTATTTCAATGGCAATTTTATTTTCCTCTTTTCATATATTCCAGCAGCAACGTGTTAGCACTTTCGCAATACTTTGAAACAATTTTTAACAGAAAGGAATTTTTATCATCTTGCACGATTTGCTTGAAGTACGTGGCAGTTGTTTGTGTGTACAGAAATGAAGAAGAGCGGGACGTGTGGTTGACAGCTCTGAGTGCCGCCATAGACGCGAATATTGCTCGACGCAGCACCTTCCTCTCAGCCAAGACTTCCTCCTACGTGCCGCCCTCGACCTGCGAGCTCGGCAAGCAGGTCTCGTGCAGCGCTTGTATCTATTTGAACCTTAAAATAAAGCCTGTTATTTCGTTTGGTGATTCATTTTTAAATTATATAATGTTTATTTTGCGTTTATTGTAATTTATATAAATAACGCGATTAATTTTTACTATTCGCTTGCATGTAATGGTGAAATTTAATTTCCAGAATACATTATTATGTATTCTTCAAATTAAATATAGAAGCATTTTTGGAGCTTCGAAAACTTTTGTGTGAAAGATTTATTTAACATTTAGCAGATTTTTGCTGTTATTTACGTTCAAAGCTTCAAACGCAGTATTAATTTTAATTACAAATAATATATGAAGAATGACGGTTCACCAAATCTGTTATCTACTATAATTGAAAAACAGGATCACGCATCTATAAGCTTATTTTACGCGATCCCGTCAATATGAATTAAGTTTTACTGTTGCTAAAAAACTTATTTCAATCAAATACAGGTAATTCATTTATTTTTACTATCGTAATTACTGTATGAATTTCTGAGTTGTGTCCTTTATTTAATTTGGTCTCTGGCCAACATCCAACTAACCACCAAATTTATTAGATTGTCCTCATATCATTTATTACAAAAGTGATATAATTCGTGGCTGTCTCTATCGTATAAGAAGCATATTAATTTAAACTTAAGATGGTGACTTAATTACACCTCAATTTATTACTATTCAGTATCGTGCTTGGCTTGAATTCATACGAACCGCTGTGACTGCCACTAACCGACTCTCTCCAGGCGCCGATTTGGGTGCCGGACTACCGGGTGTCGATGTGCCAGGTCTGCACCGCAGAGTTCTCACTCACCTTCCGCCGTCACCATTGCCGAGCCTGTGGCAAGGTAACACTCTAGCAAGGGGAAGTTCTCAAGATGAATATTTAAACTAGCACAAATATCATATTATAATAAAAGAGCTACTTAAACATGATGTATGGGTCTTGATAACTTACTAGGACATAAGGCTGGTAGTCAGAGTGCGGCGACAGGTATTCGCGACAACGATGTGAAGTCTTTGTTTTGTTGTCAGATCGGCAAGTTACCACGTTCGAGCTTGTTGCATTTGTAAAATGATATCTGAACCAGCACACATCTGGGGGCTACGGGTAGCTAAGGCTTAGGAACCAAATTTTTATCTCAGGTTGACCAAATCTTGATGGCAAGGAAACGAAAATTTTATTTCAGGATTAGCAGGTAAAATGGGAGTGACAGAGTTTGTCAGGCACGAACACTTACTTTTTTTAACCATCTAAGTTAAATGGACCAAGTGTCCTTATTGGATGGTTAGGTGATCCAAGTTAAAATTGTAGTATGAACAAGTTTAAAAGTAAGGATGACAAAGTTTAATGGTAGGATGACGGAGTCAGATGGTATGGTGTGACCTTAAAATTCGATGAAGGGATGACCCATGTAAGGATGGCGAGGTGATCAAGGTTTGATGACAGAGTGACATATTCGTGAAGACAAGGGCACTAGGTATGGATGATAGGGTTACCAAGTTTTAATGTCAGGATGACGAAGTTGAAGTGATAAAATTATTATTTGAGAATGACCAAGGTTTGATGATAGTGATTTGATTGAAGAGACTCGCAGCCTAGGTAGAAAGATCTTAAAAGTATGTTTGGCAAGTTCGGATGAATATTTCAATTAATACGGATAATTATTTTAATTAATTTGGATAAGTATTTTAATTAATTCGGGCAAGTATTTTAATTCGAGAATTAATAGTGTCAGCAAAAGTGATAGCTGCAAGTTTATGCTAGTTGGACGACCACTAACCACTAACACTAACTTATTGCAGTCGAGTAGCGTTCCATTTATATTGAGTGTATTAGATACATTATTACTTACTATTCTTTATGTTTACGCAGGTGGTTTGTGAAAGATGTTCAAACAACCGCGCCCCATTGGAGTTCAAGGCAAACAACCCTGAACGAGTGTGTGACCTGTGCTACGAGAGTCTGCTCTCTGCCCTCGAGTCGCGATTAGAAGAGAACAAATCGGCTGCAGTAGAAGACCGATCTCCCAGTCGAGAGAACCCTGACAATTCTGTACAGCATCTCAAGAAACTCAAGTGCAGTTTCAAGAAGGGAGTGCGGGACTCGATGAGGGCGAAGAGCCTCAGGAAACCCGACAGACTACTGGAAGTTAGTTCATCGTGTTTTTCGAGTATGAAAGGAAATTTTGGCCCATTAGTCACTAGACTATATTTAAACTTGAGCCTTAATGTCGTTTAATCCTCAACCTCAGCCAAACGATATCCTCCCAGTACTTTGCTATATTACCTATCCCTACTTTTCCCAATTACCTCTACCTTCATCACACTATTATCTCTTTCTACTTCACACTATTCCCTCTTCCTACTTCACGCTATTCCCTCTCTCTACTTCACAGTTCACACTATTCCTTCTCTACCTCACACTATCCCCTCTATACTTCATACTATTTACTCTTCCTACTTCACACTATTCCCTCTCTACTTCACGCCATTTTGCCCTCCCTACTTCACACAACTTCCTCTACATTCCTCACGCTATTCCCTTTACCTTTATCAAACTGTTACCTTAACCAACGGCACAATGTTCACTTTCTTGCGATGTTGCGCCGTTCTGTTTCTTGCCATGTCGCATCTAGCCCCCTTTACTTACGTTGTACTGTCCGAGCCTGATTGTCAAGGCTGAATTTTGCTGTGCCGCCCCTGTAGGTGTGCGGCAGCGACGTAGGGTCACAGATGCGCGGCTACCTGAAGCGGCAGGGCCGTCGTGGCTGGTTCGTGCTAAAGGAGCGCGTCTTGTACCAATACGTCGCACCCGAAGACGTGTGCGCCATAGAGAGCTTGCCTGTGCTGGGCTACTCCGTCGATGTTCCGGTGAGAATTACTGTCATACGTCGCCTAGAGTCATGTCCTGCTAACTTGTTCACCTTATTACCCGAGCGACTGTGCTGCTCCTAGCCCGTTACCACTTAACATTAATATATGAGGCTAAACTAAATAATTAGATTTTTTTCACTCTTCCATAATCGGACAGAGCCCAATGATTGATTGGATACATTTTACTGTATCCAAAGTGTTGTTTTCCAAATTCTGATCGAAGTTTTTCAATGTATATCTAGTGCCTATTGTTTTGATCAATTTTCATCACTCGTCGTATCGAATGATAAGGATCTTATTTGGTAATCATTGCTGATAGAAAAATCTCTTATCGGCAACACATTAAATTTTCTTGAAGGAAAGATTCGATAAAGAGACTTCGGAACAAACGAACGCCACTACAACTGTCGACAATATGCTGGCTTATTCATCGGCGTGATGGCCGATTTAGGCTTACATGGACACTCTCATTTTTAAAAGAGTGAGACTGACATTTTCTTTCCTCCATTCATCATTCAATTTACGGAATACGGTGCTCGCGTTCACCGTTCATTGGCCATTGTTTTAAGATAAGCTTTGTTGTGTTGTTGTGTTCATGGCTTCTTGTGGTGCAGGACGCTGACAGTGGCGAGCTGCACTTCACACTGCAGCACCCTAAGCAAGACATCACATTCGTCGCTGAGACCCCGGAGCTACTTCAAAAGTGAGAAATATTTTACATTTCGCTATGAAATTTACGTGATTTGAATGACTGCTTATCTTGATTTATGAGTTCCTGAATAAAAAGGATCAATATGTTTACAAGCATAGCAGTACCATAGCTTTTAATCAAAATCGTGACTTCGAGCTAAACACGGCATCATTGACGCCTGCAATCTTTATCCTAAGATTCGTTATCATTCCGAAAGATTACTGAAATTGCCGCATATGTTTGAATTTAATGTGGATTTATGCTCGTACATATTCTCCTCTTACATTTGAAATAATTTGATACATGATCTGTCACCATCTGTGCAGGTGGATTAAGGCGATGCAAGAGGCCACAGTTTTATGATGGCGGCACAACTTCTCCCTCTTCACTCACAAACCTGCCAAGTTTTGTCTATCAAATTCCGCCTTAAAATTAGCCCTCATATTTACTATGTCATTCATCGCCCTAATTTGTATTAATAGGCAATCGCAATCCTCCCAGCATTTTAACTGTTATTTTTAATAACAAATAATTGAATAAATACAATAAAAATTTTGAAATAAAGTTTTGAGGATTGGGAATGATTATCGATTATTAACGAAAATCATGATATTCCCTTTTTAACAGGTTATTGTAATAATCAATTTATCTGAAATGATTAAAACATTACTGGCCATTGAACCTCTCTGATACACAAGTTTTCCGTAAATCTTTTTCTGGCTTTACTGCGTGAAAGCATTTTGCCACACTCACTGGTTAACCACGTGATTTTAAAAACCGTATTATGCTCAATGACGATGTATATTTTATTTTCTGTTCATTGTCTGTGTATAGTTTCGTAAATAAGACATTAATCATATCCTAGTCTGTGATGGAGGATGCCTTACATGTCATTCAGCCAGCCCGGAGGAGGCAGTCCGTGCTACGATTATGAACAAATCTGTCAGTTGGTTAGGTACGCTGGTAAGCAACTGCTATGTTGCGTCGGATCATTCTTAAGAATGGAAGTCTTTCCCTTTCCGACACTTTCTTGTTTGTCCTTGAGAGTTTAGTGTACATAGATTGTATCTTTTGGGATTAAACTTTATCATTTGAATCAGTAAAGATTTTGATTCATGATACGGTGAACTTTAAGCCTGATCGTAACCTTTTATTGCATACATACAGGGTGCGGCGCGGGAACTTACTTATTTGAATTGCGCGCCACGTGGCGGCCATTAGTCCTAGGAAGGTGGCGCCATGCGCAATATGGTGCGCGGGCTATGAAGTTTTTCGTCCACTCAGTTCAGTTGCGACCATGCAGTGGTCGAGAGAGGAGCGCGCGTTCGCAGTCTCTAAACTTTAAATGTAGCTCTTTGTAAAAAAGAAAGAATTAAAACGCTATCTTTAATACTTTTTACTTTGTGATTTTTTTAAAAGAGTAAGTTCCCACGCCGCACCCTGTATATGGTTAGCGGTGTCTTTCACTGTATTCCGAACTACGGAAATGCTATGTTGATTCATATCGTATCACCTCTATTTAACTTGAGCCCTTCAGCTCAGTACTCAATTCGAGTATTGAAAAATTTATTATAATTCTTAGCTTAACTTATGATGTTTAATGCTGTGCGGTTAGGCGCGATTCTTGCAAGTGGTTTGTGTTATATTTCTATGATTGTTTAACTTGCAGTGTTGGATGTGCATCTGTATATTTCTAGTCAATACATGCCTAACGAAATCCTGGTTTCATTAACCGACCGATAATTTAGCAAACCTTAGTTCCATGCAATTTTTTCATTGGTTATTTCTAGTACTTGCTCAAATCTGTGCTTGTAACCTGCGAGCATATTTCTTTACTACAACAAAGTTATTTTATTGCAATTTTTCTCATTAGATTTATTTCATTTGGTCAAGTGTGCGAATGAGATAATGTAGCCTTGAAAGCAAAATATCCGAATCGACCCTCTCGCTTCTTTAGGTGATAATTAACAAAAAGTTTTGTACACTTCTTACCCTCACGCGTTGTCGCCTTGCGACGCTAAATTTTTCTTTCCTAACATCAACTACTCAACGACTTGATTACGGAGACCTTCATGGCTTACCGCTACTACCGCCTTCTGCGGTCATCTTGCCTTCACTGTACTTAATTGAGGAAAGTAATTGCAGCTAAAAATAGTTATATCAGAAGTAATTTTTGGTTGACTTTTATATGTATATTCGGCATTGAGAGTTACTGAATTTAATTCCTAAATTTCCATCAAATTATCCGACGACCACATGTGTGATGTGCCTCGTTATTTTTTAGGTTAGTCTAACGTAGTCCTATTTTTTCAGGCTCAATATCAACAACATTGAGAAAACATGTTGGAAAAGTTATTTTCCACAAAATTTATTAAAATAAAATATCTGGACATGTTTTGTAGGTTAAAATTAGAAAACGGAACTAGTAGGTTGGTGCGAAAATGGCTGGAGTAGTTAGTTGAAAGATACACGTGGCACTGAAACAAGATTCCCCAGCGTCTATGATGTACAACCTTTTGCTTGATACTGGTCTTTCGAGCAAGCTAATCCTAAAGTTTTAATTATAGAAAAACTCTCGGAATACTATTATGTGCACAATTGTATACATTTTTGGTAACCCACTTAGTGAATAAAGTTGTTGAACTGAAACGTCTACAAGGGCCCATCGCAAATTCTGAGTCAGAGAACCACTATTTAGCCAAAGCAATTAGTACGAAAGATCACTATAGTCTATAGGCCCTAATGCAATGGCTCAGCTGATAGGCTCGACAATGTAAAAACTTCTACAAGGCCATCAGCAGTAGAAATTTTTGTTCCTTGCATGTATTTTTGCGCTAAAGGCAGTAAACAGTCGTGCATTGAATTTTAATTGATACCAATGCGTAACTTGACTGAAATAACTCGGAAGCGTCATTTTTTTCGATGTCCTTTTCACAATATGCTGCTGGCATTAAAATGATGCCTGGTGCGAAGCAGTATTATTTTATTCTGTGCTCCAACTGGAGTATCTGTTTCTAGTAGAAAATCTAGACTCTTCTACTAGAGGTCGGCGGTATAAAATGTTCCTGCAAGTCACCGCGCAACAGCACTTCGTGAAATAATTCTTCATCAAAGCCTTGGATTAGATATCCGTATCACCTGTGCATTACTGACTGATTATTTGTATTTAGGCCCTCTTGTTTCCACGCAACGGAATACTGCAAATACAGAACGTCGCACCCTACACAGTATCGTCATCCCACTCATTTGTCAGGACACGGAGATTACGATTATCAAGCATTTCGTTATACGAACGAGGGGTTAATATACTTTTTCAGTTGCAAGGTTGCTTCATCTCCACTCTACATGATGGTTAAGGCTTGTGGGTGCAATAAATCACTTAAATCACCAGCTTGCTAAAGGACGTCTCTTAATTACGTAAGCTAAATGTCGCGGCGTCCCTTGGTGGGCTTATGTGTGTGCGACGTCTGCTTATATAGACCCTAAGATCGCGCCAAAAGGTTGTTCTACTGTGGTGACCGTCACTCAATATACGGTCTGCAGCCATCTCCACAGACGTATAGGTGACGGCCCCGGCTGGCGGAGTCTAAAATAACGGTCGCGGTGAACTCCGAGACGTTCATACCGCTACGACTCCAATATAATATCGTCAGAAATCTATGAGCAACGACCGAAACTTTGCTTATTTCTACGGTCAACATTCATTGCTACAGTTGTGACATAGCCGTAAGACAGCACGACAGACAAGAAGGCCTTCAACGAATACGGATCCAACAATCATCACCTTCAAGAGCGAGCATTGCATAGCAATTATCATCGGTACAGTCATCAGCTCGGTTCGGATATGATAAGGGCCTATAGCCATTATCTCGGTCACTGTCAGTATCGGTACGGTCACCATCACCAATGTCAGAAGTAGCTATGGAAATGAGCTTGGAGTAACATCCTCATCGGCGATTAAGAGTACGCCACTGTTCCGAAGTTCAGTCGTTATATAAATTCTACGGTCAGACCGGCCATGATACATCAGTCTAAGCGCTAAGATTGCGGCTATGAAGACTAAGTGTGAAAAGCGACCGCTGGGATGCGCGGCTACGGCTGCGGTACGTACAGCCGCTGCAAATACGGCCGCAAACGTTTGCGTGAAGTACAGTCGTTTACGACAGGCGTACTACTCAACAGAACTTCAACGAATCAATGTTTCTGGTAAAAGAAGGAGATTTTAGTGAGGCAAACTGATAGATTTTCAACGTTGATTGGTTACAGATTACCTTATAGCTGTTCTAAAGATTTTTGTTAACGTAGGATATGACAGGAATTCACTAGTTTAATATTAAATGTATCATTGTTTCATTGCAACCCTTTCTCTGTACTATTTTGCCGTACCTAACCTATTTCATACAAGAACTTGTAAACGCGAATACTCTCAGTTAAACCTACGACGCTCCGGTCGCAACCAGACTGAATAAAAAATAAATAAATAAATTTATTTATAATATAACAGTAATAAAATTATAGCAATGGGACTAAATCCAAAAATACCCTTACATTTTCAAAACCTAATCACATTTTTCTTATTTATGGAGCACAAATTTACAGACACTCGACGAAGATATCCATTGGTTCCGATATTTTATTTGTATCAGCTGGAATCGAGTCCATTTAATTTTACAATAAATATTTTCATCGTACTGATTTGCCAAAGCCTGTGTTCCGGTGCTGAGATTCACATCGTCTCGGGAGCACTGGGCCGGTCGCGTGGCGCGAGACTGGAACGTTTCCAGTTTCCCTCACCCGGAGTGAGGGGAGGTGTCGCTCCCTCGCCTCCTCCTCCCCGACTTTCAGGGATGGAGATCCAAAGAAACCCTCATGACGTCACCGTCTTCTCCAAACCCCAAAATAGCGACGCAAAATCTACCTCTAACTTTCGGGAATCGCAGAGCTTTGCACGAGTGTAAATTCTGGGCAATTAACTTTTATTGCTGACATTTATGCTGGATCAGAAACAGCTATGGCTAGCAAATGTTCAGCTTGCCCATAACCCTTATCGTTTCAACACTCAAGAGACGACTCAAAAAAATTCAAACTTTTAGAGTTCAGTATGATTCCCACTACATTTCTTGCCTTTGGGAAGATTGATTATTCCAGAATCTTGTCGTACTAATTCCAGGATGGTCCAAAATCAGCATCAGCGTTACATAACAGCGGGCGACTGTGGGCTAGCCAAGATAATCGATAGAAGAGTTTTCAAGAAGCGTCACTATCCTTCCTTTTCTCGAAATCATTTTCGCCGTAATGACTATTTCGCATCGCATTTCAACTACAAAAATACTATGAACAACTCAATTATATTCAAATTCTCGGCCCCATCATTTTAAAATTGATAAAAGATTTCCTAATAACCCATTTAACCTAATAATATATCAATATTAGAGGCAGCATGCAGCCTCCACCAGCACATTGCCAGCCCCGCGAGCTCCAGCTCGGGTCGATGCGGCCGCCCCTCTGCCTGCGCG